AGTCTTCTGTGCAGTATGTTGCTTTTTAAGACCACAGAGCCCAACAGCAGCAGGCATTCTGGAAAAGCCTCAACATGAAAAGAACTCTCGGGAACACCAGGAGATCAAAACAAAAACTTCAAATAAACCATAATGAATACCCTCAGGTAAAAAATTATACCCATGGAACAAGAAAAAAGGACAAAAGCAGATATAATCAGGATGTAAGTGAAAGTTCTTGGAAATTAAAAATACAACCAATTACAAAGCTCCGTATACGGTCTAAAAGGCTCAAAATGCAGGACAGCAAGATGGTTACGGAGAAAATGTGCTAGAACACTAACCTGGAAGGAAGAGGGGTTAGAACATTAGCAAAGGAAAAACCCAGGAAAATTTTCCTAAAGAACCAATGCAGAAAGATCAACAACAAGGCACATCCCTGACAATTTCCAGAAAATAAAGGGGGACAGGGGAGATTCCAAAGGATTCCAGAGAGAAATTATGAATGTCAGAAACACGAGAGGTTGTAGCACACTGGAGAGATGTCCTTGAAATTCTGTGGAAAATGTCCAACATGGAAGTTTATATATGTAAAATATTGTGGAAGTGTAAGTTACAGCAACTGTAGATGTCAGACTGCCAAAACAAAAGAGAATGTAAAAAAAAGAGGGGAGAAAATGGGATGTGGAAGGAGGGACAGAAGAGGGTGAGAACAAGGCGGGGATGCCCCCCACCCGCTCAGTCGGGCTCCCCAACAAGGGGTTCAACCACCCAGCACCCTCCATGGAAATATCCTGGGGCGGGTGGTAGGGGTGTCAGGCAAGACAAAAAGAAACAAGAAATTTACACAAGAAAATCATCAGCCTCACCCCGAGCCACTGCAGGGACACTTAGTGTGGATTTTATGATGCAAATATCGGACTGTGAACCAACCCAACAATTCTGAATGTTACTTGCACTTTAAAAGTATACACAAATACTGTTTGTACATACAAAACAGGGGTTTTAATCATTACAAAACAAAACAAAACTGTTGCATTTAGATAATTAAAAAAAAAAAAAGTTCACAACCTAAACATACCTCCTGCAGGTTTTGGTCTTCTTGAGTCCAGGAATTTAAAACATGAGCTCCAGAGTCACTCACGATGAAATTCACCTGACAGGTAGCAAAGAGACAGAGTTCAATTCCGATTTCACTCACTCCTACCCCCTCCCTTCTGCAATGACGGGTAGCTTCTCCCAGTGGTTTGGGGGTGACTGATTCATTCATTCTACAGTTGTGGAATGCTCCTTCAGGCCAGGAGCTGTCGTTGGCAGTGGGGCTAGGGAATACAGTGATGAATAAACACACTGCCACTCAAAAGGCAAGGGGTGGGGTGTGGAGTGTCCTCCGATAAGGTGCAGCAGGGGAAGAATACAAACAAATAAATGAACCAGGTGATTATGGAGAGTGGTAAGGGCTGTAAAAAACCAAGCTGGTGAGCTGGGAGACGGTCAGAGATGAGCTCTCTATCTTCAGGTGGAAAGTTCAGGCACAGCCAAGGGCAAAAGCTGTTTGGGCACAGGAGGCAAGCAAACAGGCAGTGGCTGAACTGCACCAAAAGTCAAGTAAAGGGTTGTGGCTCCATTCTAAGTGCTAAAATGCAAATTTAAAAATACTATAGAGTAAAATGATCATAAGGAACACACTAAAAATATCAACATGAATTCTGTTTCCTTTTTGGGAGGATGGGGCTATTTACTTATTTTCTTTGCACAGTAAGATCTAATCCACGTTATTTTTGTCCTGTAACCTATGAAACACTCATTTTATTCCCCTAAGGAAAAAGAACTGATAATTGGTCTTCTCTCTCAAGGGTTATCTCACAGGGATATGTTTACTTGGATTATCTCACTTAAACTTGACAGTAAGAAAGCAGGTGTTACGTTTACAGGGGAGGAAACAGGGTAGACAGATTAATAAACATGATCCAACTCCCACACTGGTACTAAGATGCCTGGATTTACACCAAAGCCTGGCCCCCAAATCCCCATTATCTCTCCTTTCATACTTTTTACACAACACAGAAGGCACAGAAAGAGAAAGGATTTAGGTCTTCACAGGAGTCCCCCTGCATGTCTAAGAGGAACTCTGAACATGGACCTTCGCTGCTGCTGTCTTGGCCAGTCTAACCATGAGCCAGGTCGCAGCCCACACTGCTGCCCAGGAGCAAGCAAATCATCTCCTTTTAGCTGGGCAGGTGATGGTCCCCAAAACAAAACACCCGAGAGACTGAAGCTGAAGACAACTCTAGCTTTGGAATTTCCTTCAAGTGTCAATTTCCCATCTTACTGATCAATCACTCCTAAGAAGGTTCTTCCCGAGATGGCCAAGTTCTACAGCAGCCTGGTTTCTGCTCACTCAAACTACAAGGAGCTGGCCAGCTTGGTTTCAAATGCTGGCTTTGCCTCTCGCTAAATGTGGGATTTAGGACAATTTTCTTTTCCTGCCCTGTTTCTGCACTGCCAGCATGGTCTTACAAACCCGACCGATGCCCAGCCAGTACTCACCAGCAGATCCCACCTAGGGCCTCCCTCCATCCTGCTGCCATGTCCACCAGCGGCTCTCAGGGTTCAGGGCTGCCCCATGCTGGCCATTGCCCCAACAATGACAATACCCACCTCAGACCACATCTGTGAGAATTAGGGGAGTCTTCACACATATCAAGTCCTTTGGAACTTGCCTGGCCTGGAAGGTTTCAAAAATTGCTAGCTGGGCCCGGCTCCATAGCATAGTGGTTAAGGTCCTCGCCTTGCATGCACTGGGATCCCATATGGTCGCCGGTTCTAATCCTGGCGACCCTGCTTCCATCCAGTTCCCTGCTTGTGGCCTGGGAAAGCAGTTGAGGACGGCCCAAAGTCTGGGACCCTGCACCTACATGGGAGACCCGTTAGAACTCCTGGCTTCGGATCAGCTCAGCTCCAGCCGCTGCAGTCACTTGGGGAGTGAGCCATCGGATGGAAGATCTTCTGTCTCTCCTCCTCTCTGTATATCTGCCTTTCCAATAAAAACAAATAAATCTTTAAAAAAAATTGCTAGCTACTACTACTATTATTATTGGCTCCATTATGTTCACCCCAGAGGATGGATCCATGTACACATGTATACAGTACACGACCAATCTTAAATCTACAGTAAATTTAAATTAAAAAAAAAAGGGAGTATTTACACAGCTGAGTTCATCCACAAAGCCACAACTCTGTACTTCACACTCACCAGCTTCTTGAAGGGAAATATGTCATACATGATCCTGCAGTACTCCATGGAGGATTCCACGGAGCAAGTCCACAGGGATTTCGATATGGGGGCCAGGGGGATGATGCCTTGGGTCCTGTTCTTCACCAGCATGTCGAACTCCACGTGCTGCCTGCACGACTCCGACATGTAGGGGCAGTGATCCACCACAAACACCGTCTTGTGAGACTCCGAAAAAATCTTCATTTTGCATCAACCTGTGTGGGGGGGAAAAAAACATTAGCCCAATATGTACCTGCGGCCGGGAATGACATGAAAGGGAAGGGAAACCTGCCCAACAGGAGGCAAGAGTCACAGGCCGGGAACAGACCCGGGACGCGCTATACCCTGGTGCCATGCTGATCCCTGCACCAGGCATACCACTCTGCCTCTGAGATGAACTTAAACCTGCAAAGGAAAAAATATTTTGCTTCAACACACAGTTGCGTCTGACTGCCTTCCTTCCATGCACCAAACCTCACAAATGACAAACTACTCTTCAAACCCAGTCCGTGATCCTGTTCATTGCCGTCAATCTTGCGGATCCCCAAGCTGGCAACGGAGGCTTCCCTTGCAAACAAACCAGACCCAAACAAACAAAACACATCTGAAGACTTAAAAAAAAAAAAAAGAAAAAGGAAAGAAAGAAAAAAGTGTGGGGATGGACGGGGAGGAGGTGAAGTGGGGAAGAATTGACAGGAAGGAGAGTGACAGCAGAAAGCAAAGTCCTCCACGCAACTGGCACCTACAGCGGGTCTCCCCCGGGGAGCTTTGGGGACACTGAACTTGCCACCATGCGCCTGGAGGCCAGGAGGCACTTGGAACAACTTTTCCTTCGCCTACTGAGACCTTCCACCTTGGAGAGGCACAAGCGCTCATTACACCCGCGGATTCCGTGCTCCCCCGACCCCACCCCCGGGCCCACACCTCCCTCCGGGGCGCTGCAGGGTGGGGGTGGGGGGTAGGGTGCGGAGTACAGGGCGAGCCGGTGAGGGAAGACCTGAGAGGATTGAGGTTTTCGCTTACTTTTCGTGCCTGGTCCCAGCAGTGAAAACCGTACGGAGGCTAACGGACCACACAGCCTCCCCCTCACTGCAAAAGGCTTGCGGGCTGCCTGGGTAAGAGTCAGCGCGCGATCGGGAGCGCCTGGCACCCAACACCGGGCACTGCGCTGCACCCACTCATCTCCCGGCACGCCGGTCCCGATTCAAGGCCTCCCGGGCGCGGAGGCGCGGGCGCGCGGGCGGGCGGACGGGCGCGCGCTCACAGCCGCCCGCGCGTGCGCACTGCGCGCCTCCACGGTCCCGCTCCCACAGGAAGAGGGCGGGGCCCCAGAGGGAAAAAAAAAAAAACGCCCCCCACCCCTCAAGGTTTTCTACCCGCTAATTTTCCCAGTCACCCATTGGGATGAAAGATCCGGGAAACCTGAGTGCCTCCCCCAACACCGAAGTATCGACTACAGCGCCGGCTAGAGCAGCCACAACCCGCCCCTAACCGGTTACGGACCACCCGCCCGAGCGCCCCTTCTCGGTCTCTCTCCACCTAGGCCGGCTTGCCCGGAAACACTCGCGAGATCTTACGAGAGGCCGGCCGAGAGCCGGGCAGAGCATCGCTAGGGAGGGACCTAGCGAGGCCCCGCCCCTACATCTCGTGCCGGCCTGCGAGTGGCTAGCCCGGCCCCCACGGTTCACGCGGAGAAGGAAGACTCGCGAGACTGGGGAGCGCCGATCGTAGGCGGTCGGCGGAGGCCGGCGTCGGGCCGGGGATGGGGCGGAGTCGGCCCGGCTGGCCGTGGGTGGCCCTGCCCGGTGCCGCGCTCGCTCGGCGGGGAGACTGATCGTAGGCGCGGGGTCTCGGCCCTGGAGGGTCCAGGGTTGGCAGCGACGGCTTTGAGCCCCGGGTCTCCTCGAGGAATTGAGAGCCGAGTAAGTGGACGCCGCGCCGGGAGGCGAGGGGCCCGCCCGACCCTAGCGGCTCCGAGCCCTCTCTGTGTCTTCCCGGAAAGTTGAAGGAGAACCTTTGGCTCCTTGGCCGGTGGACATACCTGTCGCTCTCACCTGGGCGCTCCCCGAGGCGGGGGCGAGGGGAGTGGGCGTCGCCTCTTTCTCGAAGCTTCTCCTCCAAGGTGTGTGTGTGTGCATGGGGAGATGGGAGTATTGCCTTTTTGCTTTTTGTTTTTTGGCTGCTGCTGCTGGTAAGGGGTCCTCCCGGCTGTCCAGATCAGGACCCATCCAGCATTCGTGCAGGGACCACTCTCCTCCCCCAAACCGGCTTCCTGCTTTCTCATCGTCCTGAAATGCCCGTGTATTTCCTTCGCTGAAACTGTTTGGGTGATGTAGGAGGCCCTTTTCCAGGTGTGTTCCGGTCCCTTTTTTTTTTTTTTTTAACCTCCTTTGACTTCTACTCCCATGCATGTTTGATGTGCAGCTGTCGCCAACCACGTGTTGTGTGTGTGTGTGTGTTGCACCTGACTCCCTGAGCTGACACGGCTCCTGCAGCGTTCATTAGGTCGTTTCTTGTGTCTCTCCTGCCGGTGTGTGTTTCTGATGTGGCGGTCCCCAGGTGTCCGCCGGGGGAGCCTTGTGTGTGTGTGTGGCCTGGTGACCTGCTTGGAATGCACGCGTGGACGGGGACTTGCCTTGAATGGAGGTGGAGGCCTCCGCCTGCCAGACCGCTCAGGTGCTCTGTGCCGACGGTGCCAGGCAACCCCTTCTGGCTTGTTGGCAACAACAGGGTTTAGGTTAGGCTCCTTCCTTCCTGAGATGTCATACTGGTGGCGTATACGCACACGCAGCTTATTTTTAGGTACAATTCTAAAGGAACACGTTAACTAACATTTTTTCCAGTCTCTGTGTTCTGTTTGTTTCTTCCGAATTTAAGAATTCATTTTCTGAAGAAAGCTGCTCGAGAAAGCTTCAAACGAAACTGATGCATTCCACCGTTTTTTGTGAACCCTGAACACTGTTTTCATGTGCGGCGGCCCACCTGTAGGACGGCTTCTGTTGTTAAGGCTGTGAGCGCAGGAGGAAGCCGTGGGCTCTGCTGTGCTTCTCTACTTCGTGTGTCATATAACCTTCTCCACTCCTTCACATTACAGGGACTAGAGCCTGACCTTGGCCCAGGAGTGCCAAACTTTTAGTGTAGGTTCTGCCATCAGACAGTGAATCTCTGCGGAAAGAAACACAAGAGTGACTTCATTTCTTTCAATTTTTCTTAACCCAGGCCTAAAAGTAGACAGCTGACAGTTGCCTTATGGGTAGGTGGTGGTTTCTCTTTGATGAGCCGCAGAATGTTCTGAACCTTCTGCCAGGAGTCAAGCTGCAGATGTCTAGGCGGGAACTGGGTGAGAATCTGGCTAGTGCAGCAAAAAAGGGGAAAAAGAAACATTTGTTTTTAAAAATCACCTGCAGTTGGGACCTACATATAGAAAATAAGTAAATGCATTTGACTAGTTAAAATAGGCCCTATAAGAAATGGGCAGACAAGTTAATATTCCTTTTGTACTGAAGTCTATTTTTAAAAATCTGAAACTTAAACTGTTTGAGAAACTGTCTTTCTCCCATTCTACTTACTAACCAAAAACAACAAAAAAGCAGGATGGTAAACTACTTATTATAAAATATATTAAACTTTTTTGTGGCTTCAAATCTAAGAAATGAACGTGCAGATCCTCATAAGCTGTGTGTTTTCCAGAAGCTAACATATAAATATGCTTGGAACTGCCTCCTGTGCCTTGCCTTGGACAGAGAACTTTTAAGTTACAAGACGAATTTTCAGTGTGGTGGTTTTTGATATGGTTGCATTACATTATCTGGGCAGAGAATGTTTCATAAAGTGAACACAAATTTCTATTTTTAAAAGCCCATCAGTAAATATTCACCAGTCATATAAAAAAGTGATCCTAACTAAAATGGTTACTGAACTTCTATTGGTTATATGAAAAGAATTTTGAAATTCTGTTAATCAGTTTGTCTCCATGAGGGATCCCGTTTCTGTTTCCTGTGTTGTGCTGACTTGGGTTTCAGGGTGGGGTCGGGGAGTCTGGACTGTCTGGGCACGTGTAAGTGAGGTGCTGCCGATGCAGGGCTTGGTGGTAACTGGTAATCGGCCAGCCAGAGGTACTGCAGTACCAGTCAGTACTAGAGGTATTGGTACTGCTGCGGCTGCTTGCCTGCATGGCGGGCCAGTGTCCTCAGCTCCTGACGGCAGTGTGTCCCCTCGCTGGTGACAGGGCGGTGACATCCTGTTGCTCAATGATGGTGTCAAGTCCAAAAAGTGACCAAGTGTTCTGAATGAAGGTTATTATCCAGCAGTGTGAGTTAACCCTGGCGTGCTTTAGAAATCCATTTGTAGGAAAACACTGCTCAGAGTAGTAATGCAGCTTTGGAGAAGAAAACTGACTTGATGTAATTGGATTACTGTTACTTTTGAAAGATTTGTATGTTCTCTAAATACAGTTCTTTGCCAAATTTGTGATTTGAAAATGTTTTTGCATAAATCTAAAATCTTGATGAAGTCCAGATTCTCAGATCTTTCGTTTTATAAATTGTGTTTTTGGTAACGTATCTAAACATGTGTTTCTAACCTAATATTAGAGATTTTCTCTTTTTTTTTCTTATACAAGTGATAAATTCTAAGTTTTATTATTTCCATTTGGAAGAGAGGAGATGATGATGATGATTTCCATTCTGTGGAGAGAGGAGAGACTGCGACAGAAGTCTTCCATCTGCTAGTTCACTCCCCTAGGAAAGGCCAGAGCTGATGTTCCCCCCGCCCCCGCCCCGTGGGTGCAGGGCTCAAGATTTTGGTCCATCCTCTGCTGCTTTCCCAGGGCTTAAGCAGGAAGGTGGATTGGAAATGGAGCAGCTGGGATTCAAACAAGGGCCCATATGGGATGCAAGCGCCGCCGGTAGAAGATTAGCCTATCATGACACAACACCAGATTCAGAGATGTTATGTTTTGGTTTTATTTTTAGACTTGTCAATTTTGAATTAACTTTTGTATAAAGTGTATAAATTATGTCGTTTAATTTTTTTCTATGTAGATGTCTAGTTCTGACAATACTACTTATTGAAAAAAGCCAGTCAATTTTCCCTGGGCTCATTTTCATTTTTTTAGGTACCAGTGACGGCACTTCCTGGGGCCTGTTTCTGGGCCTCAGTCTGTCTCTGTCAAGGCCCCACCTGCTGTCTGCATCACATGACACTACACCAAGCTTCCACATTGAGTGCTGGGATGCTCCAACTTGATATTCAGATTGCCTTGATTATTCTGGTTTCTTTGAATTTCCAAAGAAGTGTTAGGATTAGCTTGTCCATTCTGCAAGAAATCCTGCTCTAGCTTTGATTGAAACTTATTATAAGTGCTTTGGTTTTTAATTTTTAATTTTGGTTTCCAGCTGTTCCTAGTTTATTTAAAAATAGATTTTTGTGCTTGGACACTGGTAAAATCACTTTATCAATTTTAACATGTTTTTCTTTTTGTTCTGTAGGATTTTTGTCATAGACAAAGTTGATCTTTGCCTTATACAAAGTTGATTATGAATAAGAGCAGTTATATTCCTTAGTAGTGTATGTGTCTTTTTTTCTTTTGTTTTTATTCCTTTCCTACGTTACTGCACTAGTATCTTGAATAAGATATACTTAGGAGGAAAGCATTAAGTATGATGTTTGCTCTAAGGTTTATGAATCCCTGTGTGCTTTCTCGGTTTGAGGAAATCCCCTTCTGGTATGCAAAAAAATGTTTCACTATGCAAGGATGCTGAAGTTTTTCTGCTGTACTAATTGGTATGATCAGTGGTTTCTTCTTTGGTGAATTATGTTTGTTGTGAGGACTGAGGTGAACTTAATCGTGGATTGTGAGTCTGTAGCTGTTACTGAATTTTAGTTGCTAAGGTTTTATGAAGATTTTTCTGTTAATGTACATGAGGGATACTGATCTATAGGTTTTTGTTGTAAGATCTTTTGTCTGCTTTGTGTATCAGTAACATTGTTTTTATGAGTTTCTTCTAAATGTATTCATTTTTCTTGTTATTGAAGTGTTGTGTAGTATTGGTGTTACTTCTTGGTATTGATTGGATACAGTATGCTGCTGACACCGTGTTTGCCAGAGACTCCAGTCTCTCATAGTCTTAGGACTGCTGTAGAACAGTTACAGGACTATATTAGTTTTGTAACTCTAATAACATTAGTAGCTAAAAGACGTAGGTTGTATTTTACCTTGCATGACTTCCTGTAATTTGTGGGTTTTGAGGTACTAGTCCGTTTCATGTAAATTATTCTATTCTTGTCCATGAAGTTGATGTATTTGCTTATCCTTTGAATTCATAAGGTCTGGAGTGATAGCATTTCTTTCATTGCTGACATGGCTATTTGATGTTTTTCTTGGTCAGTTTTGCTGGGCATTTACAAACTTTATTGATTTCTTGAGAGAATAGACTTTGATTTCATTGCCTTTTCTCTGTTACTTTCCTGTTTTCAGTTTCATTGATTTTATCTTGCTGTTAAATTATTTGCTTTTATTTTGCTTATCTTGTTCTTTACTATATATTGAGGCTTAATTGACTTGACATCTTTCTAGCCCCCAGTACATTCAATACTGTAAATTCCTTTGGAAGTCCTGCTTTATATCTGCATGCTAATATCTTTGTTTTCAAGTTTGTTTAGATCAAAATGTCTTGTAATTTTCATGTGCTTGCTTTTGAATTATGAATTAAATATAATTTCATAATTATAAGTATTTTACATTTGTTAAGGTTTGTTTTGTTGATCCATGATGTGATCTCTCCTAGTGCCATTTACACTTAAAAATAATAGGTAGGGGCTGGTGTGGCATGACAGATGAAGCCACCAGCTTGTACACGACTGCTCTGCTTCCAGTCCAGCACCCTGCTAAGTCAGGAAGAAGCAGCAGGAGATGGCCCAGTTTGGCGTCTCTATAGACAACATGTATTAGGGCCTTCTTTTAAAATTTGTTGCATGAATCTAAGTCAGTGTATATAAAACTTGTCATTCTCATAATTATTAGTATGTTCCTTAAACACTTGACACTGCGTGGAATGCTCACATCTCCTCAGAGTGCTGGTTCAATTCCTGCTGCACTGTGATTGCAACCCAGATTCCTACTCACATGCCTAGAAAGCAGTGGGTGATGGCTCAGATGCAATGTGTGTAAGCTGTTAGTCTTAAAATTGGTGTTCTACACGTAACCTCAGGTGGAATATTACAGCCTTATCTCGGTATAAATCCCTTTGCCATCTCCTCTTTATGGTGTTCTTTATATTACCTCTATACAAAGTAAAACGCCCATCAGACCAAAGTTACGTTTCTTATTAATAAGTGAGAATATTTACCTATGTATTGGTAATTTGTTAGTTGTCCATCATTCCTAATGTTTTGAGTTTTTCTCTCTCTCCTTTTTTTTTTTTTTTAGTCATTGGAAAGGTAGATATATAGAGAGAAAGCGATACAAGGAGAAAGATCTGTCTGCTGGTTCACTCTTCAAGTGGCCACAACGGCTGGAGCTGAGCAGATCTGATGCCAAGAGCCGGGAACCTCCTCTGGGTCTTCCACACAAGTGTAGGGTCCCAAGGTTTGGGCTATCTTTTAATGCTTTCCCAGGCCACAAGCAGGGAGCTAAAGGGAAGTGGAGCAGCCAGAATACAAACTGGCACCCACATGGGATCCTGGCACATGCAAGGTGAGGACCCCAGCCAGTAGGCTACTGCACTGGGCCCTAGAATAAATTTTTTAAAAGAAAATCTAATTATGCCTTTAGCAGGTCCTTGAGTGGAATCTATACTAGACCTTTTTGTTTGTTTGTTTGAAGATTTATATATTTTTATTGCAAAGTCAGATAATAGGAGAGACAGAGAGGAAGATCTTCCATCTGATGATTCACTCCCCAAGTGATTGTAACAGCTAGAGCTGCACCAATCCGAAGCCAGGAGCCAGGAGCTCTTCCAGGTCTCCCACACGGGTGCAGAGTCCCAAGGCTTTGGGCCATCCTCGACTGCTTTCCCAGGCCACAAGCAGGGAGCTGGATGGGAAGCAGGGCTGCCTGGATTAGAACTGGTGCTCATATGGGATCCCAGTATGTTCAAGGCAAGGAGCTCAGCCTCGAGGCCACTGTGCCAGGCCCTATACTAGACTTTTTATTTAACTTCTGTAAAGCAGACTCCTGGCCCTGTAATTTGTAATCAGTCTTTTTTTTTTTTTTTAAGAAAACCCTTAAAGAAAAGATCACTGATATAAAGGTTTTGTAAAAATTTGCAGAAATAGAAAATCTTAAGGACGGAAAATTTTAGAAAAATACTAATGAGATTTTTCAGTGAGATAGTTTTAAAATTAAATGTTTTGAAGTCTCTATATACATTTTTCAAGAAGCTATCCATTGGCTTTTGTGTTATATTTCCTAATTATTTAAAAGCTGGCATGTCCACAGGGCAGGTACAAGATGGAGGCAGTAGGGGCAAGCTGGCACGTCCAAAGTTTCCCATGATAGACAATGTTTAAGTCAGAATCTCCCCTCCCCAGCGTTATAAACAGTGGTCAAGTGTTGGACATAGAATGCACTTTGATGTTAAAAGCAGAAGTTCCTCTAAGAGGAGGTTGGACTTTGCTGTAGAGTGACAGAGGTGGCTTTGAGTGTGGTGTGTGTGTACACGTGTGTCCACATACGGTGTCTCACTGACAGTCCTTGACTGAGGACACAGACCAGTACACAGAGTGACCCTTCTCAAATTGGACAAGCTACGGACTGCTTTCATGAAACACAATTTCTATAGACTATTTTAGTATTTCTGGGATATATGTTTTTCTTTCCTATTATAAATTCAGGTTGTTTTAAATACAAGGGCACTTCAAATTTCTGGAAATTGAATTAAAATTTGCCTATTTTGGTACAAATTTTTGAGTTCCCCTTATAACTTTTTTCTACATCCACACTTGAGTTTTTTTGAAGTTTTGGTGTGCATGGATTTTAAGATGTTTTGTGCCAAGATAAACTTACTTTTACCTATTTCTGTGAACCACTTTAAATACATTGTACATTCTAGCTTTATCTGTAAATCATTTGTAAGTGTTCCATGTTTGTTTTTTTGGGGGGACAATTATAAGTACACTTTGAAGCTTTTTGTGCCCTAGGAGAAGCAAACAGTGAGGTGTCGTTGAAAGCCACCTTCCTGTGTCAGGGGCGTCTGAAGAAGCCTGGTGACAAGCATGTGCAACGCCTGCTTGTTCTGACTTGGAGTCCTGACCTTGCTTGCAGGTCTCCCTGGAGAGATGAGCTGCACGATTGAGAAGGCACTTGCTGATGCGAAAGCTCTTGTGGAAAGGCTGAGAGACCACGATGATGCAGCAGAGTCGCTCATTGAGCAGACCACGGCCCTCAACAAGCGAGTGGAAGCCATGAAGCAGGTCTGTGTCCCAAGGCAGGCAGTGGCTTATCGGTGTTGCTTGTACAGTTACTACCTAATGTTTGTAACAATCTCTAAAATGTGCAAGTAGCTTGACCTTGTTTTGTACGTTGTGGCTTGACCTGAGGGATATAATTTCGTCATATTCAGATGACATATACAAGGGAACTTCAGAAAGTTCATGGGCAAATGGAAATAAAAGTATTTTGATGCCAAGAATTTTGAAATCCATGGAGAGCTTCCCCCTAGTTTGCATTTTCCATGAACTTCTAGAAGGCCCCTCATACTTGTGCATTTATTTTAAACCTGTGGGTGGGGCTGCTTTTTTTTTCTAATAGAAATGCACATTTGAATTGAGAAAATAAATGAATTTTTTAGGACTAAATGTATACCTTTTCTTGGTACATATTTTGCTGTTATATAATGTAGGAACATAATTTTCCTTTTAAAAGTACATAGATGGTACTGCTTAATAGCTTTTTGCATTTGTTCTTAGCCAAAAGGCTGAGAAGCGAGTGTTTAATAGCTTTTCAAAGATGATTTTTATGTTACATAGTTACCACATTATTACATTCCACCTTTTTATTTTTTTTTTTCATTTAATTCTGCTGGTTAAAGGAAGAAATTAATTAAGTCTTATTTCCTGCTATACTTAACATTATATAACAGGATCAACCAGAGGGTTATGGAGTTTAGCTACCACTTAAAACCCGTTTTGGGGGCCAGCAGTGTGGCCTAACAGGCTAAGCCCCTGTCCTCTGTGCCAGCATCCCATATCGGCAAGGTTCAAGTCCTAGCTTCTCCACTTGGAATTCAGCTCCTGCTGATGTGCCTGAAACAGGTGTAGTCTAGCCCTGGGCCCCCAGGAGGGCCAGAGCTCCCGGCTCCAGCCTGGTCCAGTCCTGGCCTTGGTGGCCACATGGGGAGCTGAACCGGCAGCTGAAAGACCTCTCTCTTTCTCTGTAACTCTGCCTTTCGGATAAATAAAACAAATCTCAAGACCCTTCTTTGATACACATTTTCAATTCTTTTAAAAGAGAACTATGAAATTTCTGTAAGGTGAAAATTAGAAAAGAATGCAGATTTTTTTCATAGCCAGTTCAGAGTCAGCCACCCATTGTAAAAAGAAGCAACCCTGGAGTGGAGCCTTTAACATAACTGCTAGAAAGATTTAACAAATTTATTTATTTTGTTTATCTGTTACCCTAAAGGGAATTACCAGCCTCCTAACTCAATAGCTTGACCCAAAAACTTCATCAGATATTGAATTGTTTAAAAAAAGAGTTACACATCTAGGAGTTAGGAACTTGAAATGACATAAAATATCTCAAGAATATTTCGAAATTAAATGAGTACAATCTTTTAAATAATTTTTTAAAATTTATTATGTGAAGGCCTGACACAGTAACCTAGTGGCTAAATCCTCACCTTGCATGCGCCAGGACCCCATGTAGGCACGGTTCATATCCCGGCAGCCCCGATTCCCATCCAGCTCCCTGCTTGTGGCCTGGGAGAGCAGTCGAGAATGGCACAAAGCCTTGGGACCTGCACCTGTGTGGGAGACCCTGAAGAAGCTCCTGGCTTCACATCTGCTCAGCTCCAGCCGTTGCAGCCAGTTGGGGAGCAAATCAGTGGATGGAAGATCTTTGTCTCCCTTCTCTCTGTAAATCTGACTCTCCAATTTAAAAGAAAAATCTTTAAAAAAAAAAAAAAAGATTTTTTTCCTGAGAGGCAGATTTACAGAGAAGGAGAAACATAAAGTCTTTCATCTAGTGATTCACTCCCCAAGTGGCCACAATGGCCGGAGCTGAGCCAATCTGGAGCCAGGAGCCAGGAACTTCTTCTGGATCTCCCACACGGGTGCAGTGTCCCAAGGTTTTTGGCCGTCCTCGACTGCTCTCCCAGGCCACAAGCAGGGAGCTGGATGCCAAATGGAAAAGTCAACGCTTGAACGCACATCATGTGGAATGCTGGCACTGCAAGCTGAGTCGTCGTCTGCAAGCCACCTCGCCAGCCCCAAGCGAGGACAATTTTAGGTTTTTTACTTTTTACAAATACAAACTTCATGTTTTAAAAAAATGTATGTTTTACTTGAAAGATTTACAGAGGTAGAAGGAGTGACACAGAGAGAGCATCCATTCTTTGGTTCACTCCTCACATGGCCAGAAGTGCCAGAGCCAGACTGGTATGAAACTGGGAGTCCGGAGTTTCTTCCAGTTCTCCCATGTATGTAGTGGGAGCCCAGTGTCTTGAGCCATGCTCCACTGCTTTGCCGGTCCATGTGCAGCAAGCTGGATTGAAAGTGGAGCATACAGTCAGGAGATGCTGCCACTCAGTCACTAGATTGTATGGAATTGCTTTTCCCTCATGACTCCATCATGTTAAGCATCTTGTAATGTACCTATTGGCCATTTGTCTACCTTTCAAGAAATGTCTAAGCAAAGTCTTTGCTCAGCTTTTGAGTCACTTTATTTTTTCATTAGTATCAGGAAGAAATTCAAGAACTTAATGAAGTTGCAAGACATCGGCCCCGCTCCACATTAGTCATGGGAATCCAGCAGGAAAACAGACAGATCAGAGAACTGCAACAAGAGAACAAAGGCAAGATATATCATCCCTATGAATAGCAAATCTAACTATTGAGAACAATTAAGATTTTCAAAAATGGGAAACAGACAACCAAAGTTCTTTTTTTTCCTCTCTCTTTTTTAATGTGACTGACATTGATCCCATTTCTGGTCTATATCAAACCAGGATTGCAGCTAGCCATGATTCTGCACTAGCAAGTCTTCCCAGTGTCCTCCCTTGATCACTTGTCTTCCTACCGATCTAATCAATTGTCCTACCTTTTCCACTCCTATTCATTTTATCACAAGCACCAAGTTGCTTTTTGAAAATAAACCTGATTGTGTCACTGTTGTGCATACAAACTTGTGCTATATTCTTATTGCATAGAACATGGACCAGCTTTCCTCCTATCTGCTCCCTTCTCCAGGAACCCTTTGCTTTTGCCATCCCAAACCAGTTCTAACCGCATCAGCAACATTGATGCTTCTCTGCCTGCAATGCCTGTCCCTCAGTGTTCAGCTGAGATCCAGGCTCTGTCCTCACTCTGTGTTACAGTAACCCTGTACTCTGCTGTTAGAATGCATTTGTTTTCACTCCTTTGAGTGACCTTCTTGTGTTAATACTGAGAGCATTGTCTGATATTTAGTTGCTGTTCACTAAATTTTTCTTGAAATGGGTGTCAAAACTATGTTTCAATGATTAGTCTCAATCATTTGTTGTCCTATGTCTAGGTTTTTGTGTAGCATGTTTTAAAATATTGTTTGTCAGTTGCTTTTTTGATACATTCAATATTGAAGGGGTTATTTTGTATGTCTTCAACTCAATTTGAATAAAACACACTTATTTTCTAATAGAATTGCGTACATCTCTGGAAGAACATCAGTCTGCCTTGGAACTTATCATGAGCAAGTATCGAGAACAAATGTTTAGGTTGCTAATGGCTAGCAAAAAAGATGACCCAGGAATAATAACGAAGTTAAAAGAACAGCACTCCAAGGTAATCAGTTCTATAAAGGTGACTTCAAATGGAAAAAAGGAATGATTGCTTGTATTCAGATTAGAAAAGAAAAATATTCAACAGGAATTTTAGTAATGCCATTTAATATATGAAAAAATCATCTTTTTTAATTGACATTTTTGCTTTTTTTTTTTTTTTTCATTTTTCTTATATCTCATTTTCTGTTTGATTTACTCTTCTAATTTGATTTACTCTTCTAATTCCCATGGTCCCCTAATTACTTTAACACATATAGTTAAAAATAGGTTTGCTTTTGGAAATAAAGGTAAGTATAGTCGATTCAAATTAATTTTATAATGTAACCTGCTTTTAGGAAATATTCTAATAGATTCACCTATTGGCATTTATAACAATAATAATTAAAAGGCTAAAATTTTTTCCTAAATCTAAAAGCAGCTGAATGTAGATTTGTTTTTCTCAAGACTTTTTCTGAATAAGGCCAGTACATCCCAACTCTGAGTGGTCCGTGGTCCTGGGGGTCGTGGCCTGAGCACAGAGGTGGGCAGACTGCAGTGCTACAGACCTGTTGACGTCAAGGTCAGAGACAGCAGAAGGGGCTGAAGAGAGGGCACTTCTCCTGTGCTTCGTCCTGCTAGCCATCCCTGTGTCTGTTCTCTTGGGTCTGTCCTTACATTGCTTGGTAGCTGTTGTGAAGACAAGTGAAATAATCCTTTTCTTGTTTTATTTATTATTTTTTTAAGATTTATTTATTTTTATGAAAAAGATATACAGAGAGGAGGAGAGACAGAGAGGAAGATCTTCCGTCCGATGATTCACTCCCTAAGTGAGCACAATGGCCAGTGCTGTGCTAATCTGAAGCCGGCAACCAAGAACCTCTTCCAGGTCTCCCACATGGGTACAGGGTTCCAAGGCTTTGGGCCGTCCTTGACTGCTTTCCCAGGCCACAAGCAGGGAGCTGGTTGGGAAGTGGAGCTGCCGGGATTAGAACCGGTGCCCATATGGGATCCCAGGCACATTCAGGCGAGGACTTTAGCCGCTAGGCCACGCCGCTGGGCCCTTCTTGTTTTATTTTGAACTGAGTTTTAATTACTAGTGTGAAATAATGTTCATTTAGATTGTGATAAGTAAGCAATTTTCTATGTGATGTTATTAGTTATTACTGATTAATAAGAGAAACTTGTGATTATTACATTTTTATCTTACATAATGAAGTGCATTTCTAATTCCTTAAAAAATGTCTTCCAGTTTAGTGTTTGTACTTTTAAAATTATTAATTCTCTGAGTATTAGAATTAATTACCTAGTAAATAGCCTTGTGTGACAACCTGATATATTAAGGAACTTAGTAGGTATTTTATGTACCAACTAGTAAGATAAGAAATCAGTACATCTGAGTTTTATACTATCCAGTTAAGCTAATTGTTCCCTAACCATAAGTGGAAATCCTGATATTAAACTGACAATCTTTAGACTTTAAAATGTATTTGCTCTTAATGAAGCCATTATGAAGTCACTTAAGAGAAACTTAACATATAAGCAGGAAATCACATTTTTTTGTGAGATGAATGTATTCTTGAGCGCTTTCCAAAGGCCTTTATGTTGTAAAATCCAAAACACAGAATTGTTAAGATTTAAAGGGAAGAATACCGTGGCAGAAAGTGCTTTTAGTAAGATCCTGCAACTTGCTGGTCCCGTCTGCTAACAGCTGTGAGAGAAGCGAATGTTTTCTAAAACACAGGAGATTGACCATTCGTTAGAACAGGTTCATTAATTAGCACAGTTGAATAGTCCTTGCAATAGATATGCATAATTCTTTTTCATTATATGGATTGAATTCTTCATTTCAGTGCTGATCCTTGCCCTGCATAAAATGACTATTCGGTTACTTGTTATTAATTCTAACTAATACATATTAATGTTTGTAATTTTGACTTTTCCCAAAAAGGAGACACTTGTGGCTCAATTTTTTAAAATTTCTTAATATTTGCATTGGGTTGGTTATTATGGGTAACAAGGTGAATGAATTACAAAGTTACTTTACTATTTGAGCTTGCAGTGTAACAGGAGATAGAGACAACTGTTTATGTGGTGTAAGGGGAGATGGGAATACTAACAGATAGATTATTAACACTGGAGCAAGAGACAGTAGGCCTCTTGAGAAAGCTCTGGAAAGGTGTCAGTGAAAGGAAAAAGATCCATCTACATTCAGCCCTGCGTTGGAGTATTCAACAAACAGAAGCGGAGACTTGGATCAGAAGGGTCAAAAAGTGGAACTAGTGGGCTGATATATGTAAATATGAAAATAATTTTATAACACATTCAGTAGGAAAGAACCTTTTTGGGTCTGTTGCAAAAATCTGTGACACGTAAAGTTTTGAGCACAATGAGCCAATAAAAACTTTGGAAACTCATTTTCATTCAGAGACTCACTTTTACATTTCAGACAAACATTTCAGACAATGGCTAACACGCATGAACTAACACTCCTCAGGTTGGCATTACAGATGCTGTGCGTGTTAACGTTATAATGACTCTGTAGTACAGATTGACGTGGTACATCGTAACAGCTCCGAAGGACTCTTCCTTGACGCATGTCCACACATCCCTGAGGCACCTCGGCATGCACTGGAGCGGAGGCGCTGGGAAGCAGATCAGAATGAACACTAACCAGTCAGCTTTTGGGAGGTCGATGGAAGGGGGTCCCATTGAAAAGGTCTTTCACATTTCACTTCTAGATTGGATCAGGAAAGAAGTGAACTATTAAACAGAGAATGCTGTGCCTTTGATGGCTTTGCTTTTCATGTAGACACCTGTAAGTCCCTTCTCATACTGAGAATTAAGTGAGGGCACTTGCTCTTTTGAGCCACTGTAACCTTTTTTTGCTGCACAACTGTCAGTTTGTTTCTGGTCACTGAAAATATTTTCTTGGCATTAATTTTAACTTGACTTTATAGAAATTTTGGTTGAACTATAGAGTTGGAATATTTTAACCTTTTATTGTGACTTCTGAGTACTAACAATTGTATATAGAGCTTTTCCCCTTAAAATAAGGACCTGTATTTTTTTGCTTATTCAGTAAAAAAAAAAAAAAAACTAAATGTGGTTTGCTAAAACGATTTCTTTCTCCCTAATTTCTTGCCATATAAAAGTTTTGTGGCAATATTTTAACATTCAAAAGCAGAATTATGTTCAGTTTGCTAAATATTTACTATATGAAACAGTAGATAACCAGATATAAGGTAAACAATTTCTTGCTCTCAAGGTGAATTACGATCTAGGAAAGTTTCTAGATAAAATTTGTAGGCATGGAAAATACATAAAGGATCTATAAATCAATGAAGACATCAAGGAGGAGGGGAACTCGCATTTACCAGCCATTTTTATCCTTGCCATTACTGTGACCAATAGCATATACATAGATGTATACATAGATGTGTGCATAGGTGGTTAGCTTGATGCTGTGGTGAGAGCAGCATGAAATAGAAGTGCTTCTATTCTGACTGGGTTTGATTATATTTTGCTGTTTATTCTTAATTCTAGTTCTAGTAGAAATTGATTCCAAAAGCACATTCATAGTCAGCCAACTTTGTTGTAAACACCCAGGCGTTTGTTGCATTGCAGGGTTGGTCACGTGTCTGATCCCATCTCCCCTCTTTTTCAGGAGCTGCAAGCACATGTGGACCAGATAACTGAAATGGCCGCAGTGATGAGGAAAGCTATTGAGATTGACGGGCAACAGGGCTGCAAAGAACAGGAACGGATACTTCAACTTGAAGTAAGTTTTGTAGACCAAAACAGCCTTGCCCAGACTGAAAAGTAGAAAGAAGAGTTTTATTTTCTAGAAAAAACAGTAGATTGGGAGAAATACCATTCCAGAGAAAATCACTATGTGTTCCTTTTTATCAGAATGATAACACTTAGAAGCAAATCGGCAATGTTTGTGTAATCACAGAAATTAGAATGGGATCCTTAAGGAGATACAACCTCTCAGGCCCAGAGAGGTCAGAGAAATCCATAAGGGCATCTGAATTGCATGCTTGGGATGAGGAAGGTGTTTAGCTTGATTGCAGGATTTGGCAATTCCTCATAAAATTCAAGGTTTGTTTCCATCTGGCTTCTTTGCTTGCCTTTACCAACTGGTTTGTGACCCCAGGCCTATATCCAGGTCCTTATTTTCCAAGACATGTCCATCTTACAAGGTTTTTTAATACCAGCTTCTTCTACATTACCCCTTTTTGGCTATAGTCTAGGTTAATGGGTCACAGAGATTTTGGTATCAGTCTCCCTGGCAACCGTGATGGCCAGGGTCTTGTTCTTGGTTCTGAAGGAGACAGGTGGCTGTCCCTTTGTCCCCTGGCAAGCCTGAGGAGTACCATGGCTCTAGGACTGTGTGGTGCAGGTGGGCTCTTGCTCGGGTACTGAGGCAAGCGTACCACAGCTTTAGTCCTGGGACCAGGGCAAGAGAACCTTCCAACTCTACAGGAGAGCTTGCTCTGGCAGGCACGAGTCTAGAGAACTAGTACAGGAAGGTAGATTCCAGGGGAATGGCAAATTTATTTATAACTAATTATTAACTGCTGATGTTGCAGGGAAAGGTGGGGTCAAGTAAGAGTGCTACTCCCCAGAAGCAAAGGGGAGTCACCCCAACTCACATACCGTGAAGGACTCAGGAATCGGGGCTGCGCCTCTCATTGCACTAGGAGCGGAGAGCGGACAGCAGCTGCTCCCTGGCTGCAAGGGAAGCCCGTGCGTCCCAGGAGTTCTTCTCAGCTAGCACCAGGAGTGTGCAGGGGGTGCCACTTTATTCCTGCCTTGCTGAGTATGATGGTGGCTCACAGCTGGCAACTGACTCACCTCACTCATTTAACCATGCTCTCAAATTGAGATGTCTTCTGCATTCTGTGAGGTCCTAGTCCTAGAACATGTGCACTGGCTGTGTGAGTCTATAAATATAAATCCATATGTCATTTTCTTCATCTCTGATGTTACTACAAAGTAAAGCAATTCCTGACAAAGTTCTTTAGATTACCACATGCATATATCATAGCTTATTTGTAGTCATGACATAACTTCTGATTTATGCTTGTATTCTTAAAATGATCATGTAGATGGTGACTACATCTTTCGGTTCTCTTGCCTTCTCTTAGCAAGAAAACAAAGGCCTCAGAGAGATCCTTCAAATAACTCGAGAATCCTTTTTGAACCTGAGGAAAGACGACGTGACAGAAAGTACAACACTGTCAGCATTGGTGACCAGCAGTGACCTGAGTCTGAGGAAGAGCTGAAATGTCCCCAATTGCCAGGACCTAGCCATGCACCCGTGAGCCACTGAGCAGTCCCTTTGTCTGTCTACAACATGTTCAGAACATAGGCTTAGAGACAGCAACCAAGAAATAGTCGTGACTCCATGCAGAACCCAACTGAGGAGTCAGGACTGACGTGTGACCCGCAAGGGAGCAGCTTCCCCACCTGCTGAGCGGATCAGGACCTTTCCGCACTGCTTGGTGGGTGCACTTCAATAAACCTGACTATTCCCCATGAGTGGGAATCCACAGAACTCTCGCCATGGAAAATAGACATATTTCTTCTGTAGTTCTAGGAGATTCTCTTCCTAAAGTTTACTTTCCTGTTTGGTGTCAAAAGTTAAACAACATATCAACCATGAGACTTCAGCTTTAATTATTTTGTTTCCCCATTTTTTTTCCCAAAACCCAATTTTAAAGGATGTAGGAATGTTTCACATGGACGTTAAGAGGCGATTTAATTTATCCTGATACTCACCTAACTATTGTCCCTAATTTACTTAAGTGTCTGAAATATCATTTCAGGAATGAAAAAGAAGAAATACTACTTTCTAAGAAAGCAGATCATGTGATAAACATCTAGTAGGTTAAACTACTTGTTGCAAAGAGTAAGGTTTGGTTCGAAGCCTAACGCGGATCAGACTTTTCCCTGGTTGATCTGAGGCTATCACAGAATCCATTTAGCCAACAACTATATGATGAGCAGACAAGCACAGTAATTTCAGTTAGTTGAAAATTCCTCTGGCTCATAGCACCTTTTTTCAAAAGTAATTAATCTGGAGATACAGAAAGTCAAAATTCTGGATCAATTTTTAAGCTCCACCTGATCTTAGGACCTGTTAAGAGTTTTCTTAAAACATTTCAGTTGAAAGAGGAGGAAATGTGGATGCACAAATGCTTTCTGTTTTTGTTTTTGTTTTGTTTTTTACATGGCAAATAAAAAGTACATTAACTTTTTAAAAAACTACCAGATATACAAATCAATTTCAACATCAACTGAGACCTAAATTTTTCTTGCTCTGTGGTGATTATAGAATGTCAAATATGATTAAACATTCGTTTATATAAATATTAAAAGTAGCACAAATAAAAACTCCTACTTTTGAGTATAAACATATTAAACAATTATTACTCCCATGGTAGCTTTCATGTACAGCTTCATGTTACTGGTAAAATGCAAAGTTACTTTTTGCTTCAGACTTTTTCTGTCTTAAGGTTGGGTGCCTGGGGCTATTGGATTAGAAAAGGGCTAATGGCCCAAGCAAACATTAAATGGTTTTCTTTTGTCATTCAGAGGCCTTAACTGATGTTTTATAAGTAAATGATGCTTCTTATTTTTAAGCATTTCTATTGGTTTTGGGTAAGTGTCCTTGTTTTAATGTCACATTCATCAATATAGTTTTTAATCCCAGGTGAGAACTGAAGAAAATAAGCTACACAGTTGGGAGTCTGAGGCAGCTCAGTTAACAAAGTTACTTGCTAAATAATTATTTTTGTAAACAAGTTAGTTAATTTATTCTTGGTTTTCTTGCTTGGATTCCTTCATGGTCTTGATGATAAGACATTTACTTTGTTTTCAGTGACAGTTTTTCATCCGTATTTTTTTTAAAAAAACAACCTTACATTACTGTCTAAAGAGTACATACTGTGCAGGAGCCTATTTTATCAATAAAGATGAGTAATTAAAAATGAATATGATCTCCAATTTAATTTGAAAGCAGCATTCATATATATTCAAAGGCTCTTTCATACCACGAAACCCAAACTTACATCAATTCTGGTTCTTAGGAATTAGCCTGCTCCTTCCTGCTGATCCTACAGCCCTGGCTGTCCTCTGTAGCAGGCTGGGCTACCTGATACTCCTGGAGCTGTGTGACCACCTGTGGCACAGGATCTGCATGGTTCTCATGAAGGGTCCCACACAAAGTGACCCTGGATGACATGTCCTAAAGAATAGTAGTGGGGCCCAGCGTGGTGGCTTATTAGCTAAAGTCCTTGCCCTGAACACACCCAGGATCCCATATGGCCACCAGTTCTAATCTCAGCTGCCCTGTTTCCCATCCCGCTCCCTACTTGTGGTCTAGGAAAGCAATTGAGGACGGCCCAAAGTTTTGGGACACTGCACCCGTGTGGGAGACCCAGATGAAGCTCCTGGCTTCGGATCAGCATAGGAGCAATGATTCTCAAAAATTAAAATGAGGGAGAGAGAAGTTTCATTACATTCTTAGAATTATATCCATAAAATGTGAATAATTATTTAGGAATAGGATCCGATTTGAGGAAGAGTAGATTTGAACCCTATAGAGCTAGAGAAAGCCACGTGAGAACAAGAACTGCTGGAAGCCAGGAGCCTGAGGTTTCTCTCACACCCACAGCCAAAAGAGAGATTTGCCATGGATGCTTCCTGACCAGCAGAACAGCCCAGGATACTCACAGACCATCTGTTCTACTTCTCACCTGTCAACTAGACGTTTTATTTTATAGAAGGAGCACAGTTTAAAAAAAAAAAAAACAGTGCTGCTCCAATTTATATTCTTTGGTAGACTTTAATATCAGAATAACTTCCAAATTTCATTTAAACTCGCAATGAAAAATCCTGGAAGGCCACAGATCCATAACTGAATTTGGGGTAGCTACTGCTACGTTTTTCTGATTGCCACAGTGAAACAGGAAATTCTTCTTTAGTAAAATATTGAAGACATTTCTAATTGGAACCTGAGGGGGCATCTTCCTTCCTCCTCCTTGGCTGTTCTTCCTGTCTCCTTTCTTCCTCTCTGTTCTCGACCCTCCTACCAGTAGAGGCCTGGCAGCCTCAGGAATTCTTCCTGTTCTATGCTGAGACTACTCACCTCCTTGGTGATCTCAGATAGTCTCACGAATTTAAATATTACACTGGACCTGAGTGGCTCCCAAGTGTGTAGCCCTGGCCACCTGTGACTGTCAGAGATGTTTCAAACTCAGCATCGTCCAACACCAAACGCCCCATCTTTGTCCCAGACCCTTCACTCTTATCAACCAACAAGGCCATCTTTCTAGCTGCTAGGCCAAAAATCTCTCCTGCATCTTAACATCCAAGTCAGAAGCAGATCCTGCCGGTTATCCGTCACAGCCCTGCCACCTCTCTCCATCGCTACACCTCCTGGTCAAAGCCATATTCGGGTAGGGTTGGAGTGGACACATTGGATTCACCCTGAATACCTGTTGCAGGGAAATAGTTAAGTATGCACGCATACTCAAGATTTGAGTAACAGGAACCAAGAACCTGCATGGTAAAGTGAAAGCCCAAGTTACACAAATATGTATTGCTTTCAAGTTGATGTCTCTTGCAAGTTATTTTTTATTTGAACAAATGAAAGAATTTTTTTTAAACAGCCAAAGACTTCAGAAATGTAGCATACTGTAACCAGAATAAAACATACTCATCCTGAAGCTCTTGAATGTGAGACATGGCAAGCCTACATGTGGGGAGCCAGTGTACCCTAACAGTGGTCCTTTTATGGTCCATTACCCAGCTGGTTCACTTCACAAATGTCCACAACAGCTCTCTCTCACTTTGCTCTGTCTTCCTAGTAGGTAAAAGTCCGCCCAGCATCCACTGACCAGCACTTTCTGGGTTGATGTATTATGCTGGATTTGTGCCACTTTAAAATGTCAAGGACCTGTTAGCTCTGCGTCTCAAATTTCAGCACCACTCTAGTTAAAAGTGCTCAGTGCTTCCCGAGTTACTTGCCTTGAGTGAACAAGTTTTCCAATGTGGACTTTTTCTAAACATGCAAGGATACTGTTCCTCATTCATGCAAGACTCTAGGTGTGCAAAGCATCAAAATACTGCCTTCATTCAGTAGGAAGAGAACCACTGTTACCACAGAAAGGAGGTTGCTTCAGCCCAGCCCCTGAAATTATTCCTTTGAAATCTAGATATACCCCAAACAACACATTTTTAATCAAGGAATTCTGATCCCTGTAAGTTTTCTCCTAAAAAGGAGTTGGGAGCATTTCTTTAATCTAGCAGCTAAGACCCCCATGTCCCTTGCCTCCAACTTCTTGCTACTTGGGAGGTGGCAGAGATGGCCCATGTTGTAGGGGTCTGCACCGTGTTCCTGGCTCCCAGCCCACACCTAGTGCGTTTTTTCACTAGAGCTGAACACCCGACACAGGTCTACTTAAGATGTTGATAGTATCTCACCAGTTCACAAATGCAAGACCAGAGTCTGATGAGGAGAGTGTCTGGCCGAACAGGTGCATAGGCAGGATCCTGGGGCCAGCTGGGAAGTTGAGACAGACAGCGCGCTTGTCTTCCATCTATACAGCCTTTCCTTACAAAGCTACCGTGGTTCAGTGACCTAACCACCTGACCCAAACTCACCGCTTCCCCAAGACCCCACTTCAGACACAACCACGAGAGTCATGAACACGGAACCACGAGAATCAGACTTCGGGACCAAGCTTTGAACACCTGGGTGTTTGGGGGACACCCAAACCAATACATGGCAACTGCTCTGGTTTAGCAGGCATTTGCACAATACAGGTAGAGTAGCAAAACAATCCAAGCTTTTTGGAAACATCTCAGCCAAAATACCTTTTCTTCTGAAAGAAGCATCTGAAGTGCTAGGTAGGCCTGGTTTCCTTCTAATAAAGATTGATTTTAACACACTGTCCCAGAGTCCCTTCAACTCCTGATGTTGACTTTTGCAGATGAAGAACTAAACCGTCTACACTAATCCTGTATTTATAGCTATGACACATCTCTTCTACCTCGCTGCTGTGGTACAAATAAAATCAAGTGAAAACAATAGAAAGATAGAATGAGACTGTAGAGCATTTTTTTTCAAAACCGGGATTTATTATCAAATTATATAAACTGGCTTTTATATACACAAATTGGCAGGAAATTTCTAGAACAATAGTGTAGTTATTTAGTAGGAGTTGCTAACACATTTATTATACTCCTTGTGCCCGCCCCCCCCAAAACACATGTTTTGCTACTAAGGTCCTCAGTAGACGTGCGTTCTGACAGCACTGGAGAGAACTCACAAGCATTCCATGGAACTCTGCTAGAATGAACAAGGGCCTGATAGAAGCCATAGCCCTCACTGTAAGTTATACACACAAACCAGTTACTCATGGAGCTGAAATGTTAGTCAAGTTACAGATGGTAAGAACTACAGGATAATTCAGTTGTACTGATTTTTCACAGCAAAATGCCTGCCTTTCTGGTTTTTGGATTGTTTCTGCCTCTTGAGATGCTTTAAAAGAAGTCAGAGTTGAACACTTTCCAGTACTTGACATTTCCAAAATCAACGGCATTTCGGAAAACCTCTACCAAGCAGCATCACAGACCTAGTGGTCTGCCCACCCACGCAGATGCCAACGGCACCAGGGACCTCAGCATTCCGTGGTTGGCAGCACGAGCTCATGGGGGCCACAGCTGTCAGGGAAGGCACTGGCCCTGGCATGTCGGGCTGCAGCCCAGGGGCTTCCCTGCAGCCACACAGGGGGGCTTCTCCCATGGAGCCCTACTGAGTTGGCAGCACACGCAGTTAGGCAGTGCAGCAGAAAACCAGTGACTGCGTTTTACCTGTCTCCAATGCTAACACTGCAAGCTTAGCACAAGGCACTCACCAAGGGTAGCCTCTGGACAGCCTCCTTGTTCATGGCACCATAGCAGAAGAGAGGGGTGCCTGTTTCCTAGAAACGAGAGCTGTTCTGATATCCACAGTTTAGGGATCACCTGTCAGCAAGGGCCTGGGGGTGGGGGGGCGGGATAACAACCGGAAAACTAAGCGACCCTTCCTTGGACTGTAAATAAACAATCTGCATACAGGTCTCTCCCTGAAAAGAGAACCTAGCAAATGTAGCTATTTGAACTTGCATTTTCAACAGTAAAAGGCAAACAGGAAAGGGACATACTGAGCTGTGCTCTTAAGAGTAAGACTGTAGCGGGGTGGGGAGGGGGTTTTCCCTGCCGCCTCCCTGTCCCCGCCAAAAGATTAAAATGATAAATTCCATGTGTATTTTGCAATTAAAAATGTTTCAACTTAGTAAAAAATAATACATCAAAGGATACATATTTGATAATGTATGATATTTAGGAAGATGTGCAACTAAGATATCTGATGGCCTTTGGAAAGACAAAAAGTTCCCTCTGAAGTTCAGTGGGCAGCAAACCCTGCGTCACCAAGCACGGCAGCAAGCACAGACTCAGTAACAACTGAAACACTCCGGTCAAGTTCGGCCAGACTCGGGCCACACACGTGTCCGTGCACTTAGGGAAAGGACCACCAGGGAAAACAGGAGAACCCTCAGCGTTTTCTCAGTTCCTATTGCTTTTTTCTTAGTGTATCTATTTAGTAGAATGAGTTGCTAACATATTTGTGATTTCTCAAATGTCTAAAAAGAAAGAAACACCTGCCCCGCATTTCTCACGCTGTCGCTCAGGACCATCCCACCGGCATAGCACACGCTTACCACGTGTTAGCACCATTCCCAGCCTGGTTTCACGCACCTCACCCAGGAGAAGGCTGGCATCACCCAGGTAACAGCCCGAGGCTTGCTGGCCACCGGGTGAGCTACAGCAGCAGTGGTGTTCTCTCCCCAGCAGGCTGCTCCTTCCGGAAGAGCTCTTTGATCTGTGCTAGGCGGCTGAGGAGTCTCTCTCTCAGCGGAGGCAAGTGGTGGCTAGGATCCAGAACATTCGTCACCCTGCGCTCTCTCTCTTGCTTCCAGAGCTTGTAAGGGTGGGGAGGGAAAAATGGTCGCCCTCTCTCCCTTCGGATCTGTAGTGTGATTCCACTCACAGCCAGCATCCCCCATACAGCCAGGATGATAAAATCTTAAAAAAAAAAAAAAAAAAAAAAAAAAAACAGTGGAAACACGTGGACTAACATTTCATGGACCAAACTCTCACCATCAGAACTTGTGGTCAAGTCTGTCCAAACCAATACATTTCCTTTCTTAAAATCGAAGAAATAGTTGGTGGAAATGTGACCACATCTGTTTCTGGAATCAGGAATTTTCTAGGGTGGGCATCATCTGAAAGCCCAAATAGGTTGTCAAAGAATCCTCCCTGTGGTTCCTGGGCATTGCATGGCTAGTGCCCGCAGGCAGGGCTGATGGTGTGTTTTCCCAGACAGCAGTGGTGGCAGCAGGCAGTGCCCTTCACACACATATGTGGGCAGCACCAGATGCCACTCTGCTCACCAGCTTCCCACATCCGTTTCAAATGAATGAATCCTTTTTTCAAGAAAAATGACCCTTACCGGTAGTCTGCCAAGGCACCTTTGTGAAAGCTCTTCGGAAATCTGGCCTGAGCGCCCTCTTTAGGATGTTCAAAGTGACGTGAGAGAGGCTCGTGAAGGAGTAACTGTTGATGGCCAACACCACCGTGTAGGATCCCACGACGCCACAGCTCAGCACGTTCAGCTGGTGGAGAGGGCAGGCGTCAGGCATGAGCCTGGCTAACTCAGCCCCCGGGAGCCCCTCATCTCCATCATGGCTCACACACAGGGACCGAGTCGATCACTGACAGCCACCTCTGACCTAGGGCAGGAGCCATCCTTCGGAGTGGTGGTTAAGACACTTGAATGATACAGAACCCTGTTCAAGGGCCTGGGTTCGCAGCCCAGCTCTGCTCCTGACACCAGCTTTCTGCTAACGTGCACCCTGGGAACGCAGCAGGGGATGGCTCCAGTACATGGGTCCCTGCCATCCACCTGGGAGACCACAGGTCTGGGCCAGCTGCAGCCATTGCAGTATCTGGAGAGTAACCCCATGAGTGGGAGACCTGGCCATCTCTTTCATAATTGAAGCTCTGAAAATACTGTGGAAAATGGCTTCCCTGTGAAAGAACTTTTTTTAAAGTTTTATTTATTTTTATTGGAAAGCCAGATTTACAGAATGAAGGAGAAACAAAGACAAAGAACTTCTATCCATTGGTTCACTCCCCAGGGGGCTGTAACAGCTGGAGCTGAGCTGATCTGAAGCCAGGAACTTCCTCCAGGTCTCCCACCCAGCAGGTGCAGGGTCCCAAGGCTTTGGGCCATCCTCAACTGCTTTTCCAGGCCAGAAACAGGGAGCTGGATGGGAAGTGGAGCAGTGGGATCCTGGTGCCCATTCAGGATTCAGTGTGTGCAAGGGGAGGACTTTAAGCCACTAGGCCATGCTGTTCCCCCCATGAAAGAACTTGAACAACAGAATCAAATGGGATGAAGAGCTCTTCTGGAGACACAAGTGAAAACGGGAGTGCAGAGTGGTGAGCCCGACCTACTCTGCTGCATCCTTACAGGCACATAGGCAGTGACACTCCGTTTGGTAAACAAGAAACCCCACTGTGTGAAAAATGGAACGTGCAGTCATCCGACACAGCACACGGCACAGCGCTCACTGAGCCAGCCAGCACAGCAAGCCAGCGTGGGAGGCCCAGGCCGAGCCGACAGCGCAACCCTGCCAGGAATGAAAGACTCACTATTCTCAGGCAGCCGATGCAAAGAGCAGGAATGAAGACAGCGATACAGCAGAACGCCACCCAGAACACCCCGTCGTCACGGAAAATCTTGAGGTTTCCTGACAAAGAGAGACGGAGAGTCAATAAGAAGCTCACCAAGTTCACTTACACTTTCTCAGTATGCAAACACAGGCATCCATGGACAGTTCAAAGGAACAACCCGGGGCTGTGCTGGCAACTGCAGGTAAACCCTCATTCTCTTCATCACACTGTCACTATGATTCCCTGGAATGGGTTGTGCTCCTTAAGGAGTCTAAATATCTATCGGTTCCATGAGCCTGTGCTGCAAAATTTTTAAAAATGCAAGCAAAAAGCATTCAGACTTATCATCCAAGATAACAAAATACACTCCACAGAATTATTCTTTTGAAGATTTATTGATTTACTTATTTTAAAGGCAAAGAGATGAGTCCATTTCTATCTGCAGGCTCACTTTGGAAATGGCCACAAAAGCCGGGTCTGGCCCAGGCCAAACCCTGGGCCCAGGGAGTCCACCTGTCTCTCCCAGCTGGGGAGCCCACGGCCTCCGGACATCCTCTGTTGCCTCCCCAGGCCTGTCAAGCAGGAAGCTGGATCAGAAGCAGCGCAGCTGGGACCTCAGCCAGCACTGCAAAACGTGATATGGCTTCGCTGGCTGTGCCACAGTGCCGGCCCTCCGGAACAGTCTTTCAACTCAAATGCAAGAATTTTAAAAAGAAACTGAGGCTGCTGCTGGTGTGGCACAGTGGTGTCAGCCATTGCTTAGGACATCAGCAGCCACAGGGCTGTTCCACTTCTGATCTAGTTCCCTGCTAAGGCATCTGTAAAAGCAGCATACGGTAGCCCAAGGACTCGGGCCCCTGCCAATTGCATAGGAGACTGGACCATGTGAGGAGTGAACCAGCAGGTGGAAGGTCTCTGTCTCTCCTTGTCTGTCTTCACCCTGCCTTTCAAATAAAATATAAGTAGCACATCGCCAGGGTGGGATTTCTGGCACAGCAGGCAGTGACAACGCCGGCAGCCCAAGATGCCAGCCCCTCCCCAGGCAGCCCCCTGAGCACACAAAGCCCACTCCTCCCCAGTACGAATGTTCTCTTACCGAGCGGAGTGAAGAGAGTCATGGAGGAGATGAGCGCGCCGAGGGTCAGACCCACGCACAGCATGCACAGTGGCAGGACTCCAAAGCGCCACCAGGCGGCCATGAGGACGAGCCCGCCTACACCACCGGCCACAGCCGTCAGGATCAGACGAACTGGACAGGGGCAGAGCACGCGTGTGAGCCTGCACCCACGTTCCCACCTCGCACACAGCCACGGCTGCTCCCAGCACCAGCTCGAGCCCCGAGGGACAGTGCTGCCCTGAGCCCTGCATGGCACTGTCCACCATAGGGGACCTGGTCACTGCCCAGAAGGCTGAGCTTCACAGCCCTGGGGACAGCCATAGCTGGTCAGTAAACCGGCACTGAGGCAACACAGATGAAAACCAGCAATGGTTACAAATGTCCCTTGGCAGGCAGGCAGGCAGGCAGGGCGGGCGAGGGTGTTTCAACTAAAGAAAACCTCAGCATTTTTACTGTATGTTCTGTGTCTTCTGCATGTCCTGCCACATGAACGCAGGTTTGTAGTGAACATGGTCCCCATGGAGGAGGTCTGAAGGAGCAGCTTAGAACACAGGCTTGGGGCAGGGTAAGATGCCAGCATCCCGGATCACAATGTCTGTGTTCCATGCCTGGCTCCAATGCACGCTTTAGGGGGAAGTGTGCCTCAAGTCCTGGGGGCCCTGCCACCTGTGTGGGCCATCTGGACTGCACTCCTGGTTCCCGGCCCCAGCCCCAGGCCCGGCCGGACCAGGCATCCGGAGAAGAAAGCGGCAGATGGAAGCTCGCTCTGCTGGACACCCCCTCACCCTGTCCCTCAACCTCCCAAATACACACTCCAAAACATGAGTGCTGGTGCTGCATACAGCCTAAGGCCTCCCCCACAGTGCAGCTCAGGCTCCAGGCAAGGGGGGGCAGGACAAAGCCTGCTGCTTGCTGGGTGCCCGGGAAATCCACTTCTTACTCACCATCGTACTGCACGGCTGTCAGCCTGGCGAGCAGGATGTAAAAGAAGAATCCCATAATGATAAAACCGATGAAGAATAGTTCTAGGGAGAGTGACCAAGCAAGGCAACTACCGTGAGGCTATGACATCACATGGTGACACTCCCAATTCCACACCACAGCACATTTGGAGGAGGAAAACATCAAAAAGGCAGGAGAAATTTAGAAGTCAGGGCTGGGGGGAGGGTCATTATTATGCGATGGATACAGTATTCAAGCTGTTTTCCTTGAATGCAAAACCATTTCAATAATCCGATTACCACTGGAAAATTCCACAGCTCATCTGAATACACTTTTATTTACTACTTCAAACACAATTAGTGCTTTTATCACTCATGTTTCACCTGAAGTTACACTTCAATAACTATACGAGTAGAGATCAAATATGAGAACTGAAGGTCACGAAAAGAAATATTCCAAAGGACAGTGTGATATTCCCACTTTCCTTTCATCCCTCCCTGCCTGCAATGAACAACCGTTGCCTGCACCCATTAAAACAGCTGGTGCTACAGGCACAGGAAACTTCTAGAAACTTTGCTTCTTACAAGGCTGCTTCAACTGACTCTGAAGGATGCACCTGTGCCTGTCAAGTTATTTTCAGTGGCTGTGGGTGGGTAGCACCGCAGCTGCACCTCCATGTACATGCACACAGAATTCTATGCATCCGCAGGTACATAAAACAGCTTTGGGACCTTGCCCACAGCTCAGCAACTGAAGCATGGGGTGCAGAACCACCTTGCACTTTGGCAGGCTGCATGGTTTTCATAATACTCTCTTCCAGTCAGGGAAAAAATGGAAGAAAGTGGAGAAAGGACCCGCGGAGGCAGTATTAGGTCTCACAGCCACGTCTGCTTTACCCTGATGCCCAGGGACACGACGGGCTGGCTCTAGGTTTGTTAGTGATTCACAAACACGCAAGTCTAAAGTCAACAAGGTGATTTATAGTAACTCAGCCAGTGTCTCACCGTGGGGCACCGGGGTCCACCTCACACATATTCACCTGACTTAAGTGCATTACCACTAGGGACGCCCCGACACCAAGACCATCACTGGTGAGGCACCGGGGTCCACCTCACACACATTCACCTGACGTTAAGTGCATGGCTGCCAGGGACACCCCAACACCAAGACCATCACTTCTACCAAAACTCACAGGCAACTGTATGCAAACACCCTGACTTCTAACTTGAGCTCACTCTAGTCTACTAGCTGGCCATGAAGATGTTCACTGCACAAGCTTCTGTTTAGTCCCAGTTTCATAAGGAAAAGATGACAATGGAAGTTAAAAATCACAATCTCTGCCATGGTTCAGTAGGCCCAGCAGAACCTTTGTAATGACTCAGTAGACCCATTCATAAAATAAGCCAACCACAAGCCTCCAAAGACAAAAAATTTGGTGGTGATAGTCGTCTCAGCCCCAGACCCCCAACACGAGAGCAGCAGCTGTGCCGGCTGTCTTACCTGTTTTCCAGAATCTGTGTCCAAAGAAGCAGATGAAGAGGCCAAGCAGGGCGAAGAGAGTGAAGAACGCCTTCGTGGAGGCTCTTCCTGAAAAGGGACATGGACACACAGTGAGTAATAAACCCTTCACCCAGGAAAGGGACACAGCGACTTTGTATCACACACATGTGCATCAAAAATCCACCTTAAAATGCCCTTGCCACCCCACATGGATTCATCTTTGCAGGTGATGAATTTCAGCGGCTACTGCTGTCAGAACACAGCAGCAAGGAAAACACCTGCTCCTATGCTCACAGGTCGGGGAGGGGAAGGTACGCAGGACAGATCCTCGGGCACTGGGCAGGGAAAGGGCAGCCGAGTGAGGGTGGAACAGTTATACTCCACCCACAGTCCACGGGGCTCCAGGAAGAGCGGCCAGTGCGGGGTGGCAGGGCTAGGCTGGAAAGAGATTTACGACACACATCAGGCCTCTTCTGAGACCTCGGTCTAAAACACAGACTGGAAAATGACTTAGACGACTCAGGACACATGAGGAGACTTCCAAAAACAATTCGTGGAAAATGAAATAGAAAGCCCTGGAATGAAAATTATGAAATCCAGGCATGGCTTTCTCATAATACACATTTGCCATGAACTGTTTAAATACCCTTGTGTTTTTTTTTTTTTAACTTGGGAATTTTTTTCCCCACCAAACCTAATTCCAATGTTCCACAAACTTTTTAAAGTATGTTTATGAAAATTCATGCTATTAATTTGATGCTAAAGAATTACCTTAAATTATGTTATTTTAAACCATGTTCATGATACTGTGGTTATTTTTTCATTCATTCATTCATTCATTCATTCATTCGCTTCGCATGCAGGGCGACACACAGACATACAGAGATCTCGCATCCACCAGTTCACTCTCTAAATGGCTAGAACAGCCAGAGACAGGCCAGGCAAAAACCAGCAACTTCGCGCAGGTCTCCCACGTGGGCAGCCACCCATGTGGGAGATCGACACTGTGCTCCTGGCTCCTTGTGTCAGCGCCGCTCTGCCTGGGACCTTGGCAGACTTTTGGGGAGCGACGTACGACGTTGGAATGCTAACTCTCAAATAAATAAAAATGAAAAGCAAACAAAGAAAAACCAAAAACCCTGCCAACAGCTGGCTGCATTATAATCCAAGCTGGATCATGGCGCGGTTTGCTAAAACCCTTCCAGAGTGGGGCCCCGCCAACAGGAGGGCCTGGCCGTTGCAGGGCTGACAAGGCAGGCTCAGAGGGAGCCAGCAGGGCCTTGGGTCTGGGGGAACGAGTGTCAAGAGAGCCTTCCTCATTCGAGCTGCAGAGCAGGGCTTTCCAGGGGCCTGCAGACAGATCTGGGGAGGGGACTCCACCCCCTCACCGCCACCTGGCCCAACATCTGATGCCGGTGGAGTGATAGGAGGACTGGACGTATCTCAGAGTGTGGGAAGGCTGTCCTAGAGGGGTTTCTACTGCTCAACCCAAGGTGCAAAGAGACCACCTCAGTCCCCTGGAGAGTGGGTCCATGTCAGTGAGGTGGGGGGTGGCCCAGAGACAACTGTGTAGCAGGCTTCTTCCTAAGGCTCAGAGGGGTCAGCTGAGTTCTCTGCTGACTGCCCCTCAACACACATTGTGTGTGTGTGCACGTGTGTGTGACAGCTTTCTCTTTATCAACTGGCACCACTTTTCAGAGATCATTTGAAGTAAAAAAAAAAAAAAAAAAAAAAAGAAAAGAAAGAAAGAAGACCCTTCCAGAGTGTCTGTAACTCACTCAGAAACAAGGCCAGGGCTGAGCCCTTTCTGCCCTCCACCTCATCTCCAGCTTTTCCACATGCCACAGTCTCCTCCAGGCCCACAGCTGGGCTCCCCAATGCTGGCCCTGTGCTCCTGTCACACGGCTCCTCGCAGACGGGCACAGCTCACTGCCACGCTGGGACTTGAGTCAAGCTCCAATGTCAGGTCCTGCCCTCCTTACTTGCTCACATACCATGTATCTTTAAGTATCCTTTTTTTTTTTTTAAGATTTATTCATTTCATTCCAAAGACAAGTGTTTTAGAAAAGGAGAGCGAAATCTTTCACCTGCTGGTTCACTCCCTAGATGGCCACAACAGCCAGGGCTGGGGCCGACTGAAGACAGGAGCTTCTTCTGGGTCTCTCACTTGGGTAGCAGGGGCCCCCACACTCAGACCATCTTCTGTTGCTTTCCCAGACTATTAACAGCATCTAGATAGGAACTGGAGCAGCCAGAAACTGAACTGGCACCCAAATGGGATGCTGACGTCATAGGAGGCAACTCTACTTGCTGTGCCCCAATGCCGTGCCTCGCATTTTGTACGTTACAGGATGGTGCTCAGGCTGTTTTGTTTGCTGATAACACCCCAGTGCCTGCCACGCTGAAGAATGATAGAAGGGTCCAAAGGATACTTGCAGAATGAATGAAGGAAGGAACAAGTACAAACTTCGGGACTAGCTGACACAGATCTGCAAAGCCAAGCCATTCCACTCCATTCACTCACCCAGCGAGGCACAGTTGCCCTCCACAGCCTCGAAGCTGCAAGCATACGTGTGGGCAGGAACATACGCAGCCGAGGAATTGAGAAGCGGGTCCCGAACGATGATGTTGTAAATGACACCTTGTCCCCGCACAGAGGAGAAGGAAATGTCTGTCTTATCGTTAGCTGTCAGGGTGATGACCTGGAGTGAAAAATGACAGGCAATGACCATTCAGAGCGATTCTAGCCCTGTGAAGGCTTCTGTAGAGTGTTAAAACTCTTAAAACTTGAGCAATATGTGAAACTCTAGCAGGAACACAGTAAAAAAAAAAAAAGTGTTTTATCTCTTTTATTTTAAACAACCTAGAAAGTGGTGGGAACTGTAGCACAGCATGATAAGACTCTGCGGGTCCCGCAGTCTATATCAGAGTCCAGTTCCAGTGTCAGCTACCCAGCTCCAGCTCCCTGCCAAGGTGCCTGGGAAGACAGGTGATCACTCAGGTGCCTGAGTCCCTGCCACCTGTGTGGGAGACCCAGATGGCGTTCTTGGCTCCTGGCTCTTGCCTGGCCCAGCCCTGGCCGGACACAGAGCTCCCATCTGTTGGTTCATTCCCAAGTGGCTGGAGCAGTGAGAACAGTGATACAGTGATAATCCCTGAAGAACCCAAGAGAACAGTCAGGAAGCAAAACTCCCAGTAGCTCCACCCTTCCCCAACACGGAGGAAGACCCGAGGAGCACGAGAATCGGCATTACCTTGACAGCATTGGCCTTCACCTGCGACACCTCGGCCATCCTCTGCAGGGCCTGCAGCAGCACCTGCTCCGAAAGGTCGTTCTCTGGTAGGAAGTACTGGTAGATGTCATACTGCAGCCTCCACCTGGAATCCCGGCTCGTCTCCACGTCACACGGCAGAGGATCTGTGCCCCTAGAGTGTGAACCAGCCAAAATGAACGTCAGCCTCTCGTGAGGCGACCCTGTTTGCCACAAGGGAACAAAGAGCTGCAGCGACTCCGGGGCCTCAGTTTCCCTTACGGCAAGGGGGAACCCTTAGGACTCTGAAGCAAAGTCACGTACTGTTAGGGGGTTGATGTCTGCGTGCCCTGCCAAGGTCCTATGTTGGCATCCTAACCCCTAATTTGTGTGTGTATGTGTTTCGGGGGCGGGGAGCTTTAGCAAGTGATGATGTTATAAGGGTATAACCCTCACAAACAAGTCTTCGTAAGAGACGACCCCAGGCCTCCTGCACAACGTAGTGAGAGAAGCCAGGAGCCTGCACCCAAAAAGAACACATCTGTACTGGTTCCTCAATCTCAGACTCCAACTCCACAGCAGTGGGGTGCACACAGCTGTGATGCTCTCTTAGGGAAACCCCAACAGCTTGGGACAGGACAAAGTCAGGTTTAAGAACCATATTGGGCTGTCGGGCCTGGGGAAAGATGCCAGCTGAGCCACTGTGTGTATGTGTGTATGTGACAAGTCACTGGGTCCTCACTAACAATGACAGCTTCTTCGGCATGAAGCTGCTGGGATGAAATGACAAACCTGCCATGCTCCGCACCACGGGGGACACACAGAACTCCTTCCTGTGTTCCTGAGATGGGATCTCACGTTACTATGAATGTGCAGAATGAACAGTTGCCGTAAGATTTTATTATCCTTAAAATCTTTATGGATGGGGTCGGCACTGGTAGCATAGGAGGCTAAGCCTCTGTCTTATGGTGCTGGCAACCCAAATGGTGTTGGTTCATATCCCAGCTGCTCCACTTCCAATCCAGCTCACTATGCTTGTGGCTTGGGAAACCTGCACTCACATAGGAGACCCACAGGAGGCTCCTGGATCCCAGCTTCTGATTGGCTCAGCTCTGGCAGTCTTTATCCTTTGCGGAATGAACCAGCAGATGGAAAATTCTCTCTATATATCCTGTTTGTAACTCTGCCTTTCAAATAAAAATAAATCTTTTTTAAAAAAAGTTTACGGATTTTGCAGGGCTATAAAACGTTTTTTAAAATCTGAGAGGTATTTCCAAGCTCACAGCAGACTCCCATCTGGCCCTTCCAATACACAGCGTTCATCAGAAAGGAAGGGAGAGTGTCTCGCCGTAAATGACAGTTCAAATACTGGTAATGAAGCTTACATTACATCAATTTCCAGGAAATGAGGGACAGACATACCTTGAATAGCCTAGGTTTGCTGGCGCAAATTTGAGCGTGGTTTCAAAGAAATCATACTCCACGTAAATGTTGGGATCGATGTCTAGATCAAACTCCAAATTACAGCCTCCAGGGACAGGATCTGCACGGAGAGAAGGGCACAGAGAGATCTTGTACACTCCCAGCGCTCAGATGAGCTCAACTCTGCTCTGAGAAGGATTTCCCACAGAGAAGCTGAAGGCCAACACAGAGCTGCTAGTTTCACACGGTCTCACGCATTGAGTCGAAAGAGAGTGACAGAGGGGCTGGCATTGTCTGGCAGCCTGCAATACCACCACCCTGTTATCAGAGCCCAGTGTTACATCCTGTCCTGAGTGCTCCCTGCTAATGCACCTGGGAAGGCAGCAAGAGATGGCTCCAGTGCTTGGACCCCTGCACCCACGGGAGAGACCTGGATGGAGTGCCAGGCTTCTGCCATGGCCAGCGGGGGAGCAAACCAGCAGATGCAAAAACTCTTTCTTTTGTCTCTCCTCTCCCTGTCACTCTCCCTTTCAAATAAGTAAAAAACAAATTTTTTTTTAAAAGGGGGGGAAAAAGTTCTTTAAAAAAGAGATGACATTAGCTGAGGTTATATCCCTAAAGTAGATGACAGCAAATCTTTCTGTACTATAAGTAGATATCTTATTTTAGTGATTTAGTTCTCTGCAACTACTCAGTCCTGCTCACGTGCTATGAAGGCAGCCACAGAAATATTGACACATGTGGACATGGCTGTGTTTCAATAAAACTTTACTTACAGAGCAGACAGCAAACTGGATTTTGTCCATGGTGAGCAAAAGTTTATTTATTTATATGAAAGGCAGGGTTAAAGAGAGAGGGAGACACAGAAAAAGAGAGCTCTTCAATCTGCTGAATTACTCCCCAAACCGACCCAAGACTAGGGCCAGGCCAGAGGCAGAAGCCAGGAGTCGGGATCTTCACCCAGGTCTTCCACGTGGTGGCAGACACTGCCTTCCTAGGTGCATTATCCAAGGCTGCATCAGAAGCAGGGCACCTGGGACTCGAACCAGTGCTATGATATAGGATGGCAACTTAACCTACTGTACCACAATGTCAGCCCATAGAGGTGGCTTTGAAGAGCTGAAGTGGACCACATCTCTGCTTTAAAAGCTCTACCTTCAGTTGAGAGCCAAGCTGAGAGTCAAGTGCAGACCTCAATCTGAGCACAAGGCCATTGGCCACTGACAGTTGGCCATGCTCCACACCCTCCACTCAGCTTCTGGACAGTGGACTTCCACTCCCCAGAATGACCACCTACACGGCTAACGCTCACGTCCTGCCTTCCTGTGGCGGTCTCTCCGGCCTTGTGAACAAATGAACATCCAAGCCAACATGCAGACTCCCATGCCAAGACAATCAATCCGATGAAGTAAGTTGTAGCACACAACCTGAGGAAGTTGACCGTACATGCATGGCCCCAACACACCCACAAGCCAGAGCACCAATGGGGCAGAGGACAGGAGGTTACCTAGTTCTGAATAGGACAGTGGGATGGCCACACTCCGGACAGGCACCACCGCTGTGGTCTCCAAGTACCAGGTGCACAGAGTCTGCTCCAGATTCATTACAAAAGCCAGTCCTTGGTCGGTGCCCGTTGCCGAAGAACCTGGCAGGAGGGTCTGCGAGGAGGAAGAGAAGTTGGTGTTGGAGAGGGGATTGAACAGCACACATAAGCCATGGGCTGCTCTATGCGTGCATCCTCCTCTGGACCTTCTCAAAACAGAAAGCGGGACAGAGCTCCCTGGCCTCATGAAAGCATTCCTTCTGTGTCTAGGTCCACGTGCCCAGCAAAAACACATGTCCAGAAAGAGCATGATCAGCATTCTCTGACCATCTTGGTCTGCTGGGGCTGCTGCCATAGACAAGTGGTTTACGGACAACAATGATGTTAGCTCCCAAGTCTGAGATGAGCAGGGGGCCTGGCACAGTCAAGATGACCAGAGGGCCTGCTGTCTGGATGGGCCCTTGTCCAGGCTATAGATTACCATGTGCCAACGACATGCCCACGTGGCAGAGGCGGAAAGGGGCAGAGGCTCTCAGGGGCCTCTTATGTGAAGGCATGAAGCCCATTCAGAAAAACTCTGCTTCCGTGACCTAACACTCCCCTCCCCAAGACCATCAGAAGGGAAGAGCAGACAGAACAGCAAGCCAGGCCCTACGCAGCGCAGCAAGTGCAAGCTACCGAGATGCAGCTGATGTACAGGCACTGCGGGGGAGTTCTGACGTTCACACAGACACCCATGGAGCCAGGCCCACAGGCAGCAGGCAGGAATGCAGTGCAGGTCTTCCACAGAGCTGGCAAGAACCCAACCACCTGAGCCCCTGAGAGCTGGGAGCGGGGAGCACAGGGAGCTGGGAACTGAGAATCAAACCCAGGCACCCGGCTGTGGGATCCTGGTGTCGTCAAAACTACCAGGCCCAAGACCCACCGAGAGAGCTCTGGGAAGAAAATGTTGAGCTAAGAGGTAATGGGGTCAGAGTTATTCTTGAAGTTTATGGAAATAAATCAGGTGGATTTCAAGTTGGCAAGCCTGAGGGAGAACTCATCAAACATTAATTGAGAAAGTAGACAGCTTCAAAGAAACGGCCATGATGACCCCACAATCCCCAAGTACTAGGCACAGGACATGGGCACAAAGCTCTGCAAAGCTGTGCAGCTCTTTGCCAAACTATTTTTCAAAAACACATTTATTTATATTTATTTGAAAGGCAGAGTTATACAGAGAGCAGGAGAGAGACAGACAGACAGACAGACAGACAACACAGCACTGGCCCTGGCCACACATTTCTACGTAGAAGTAGCCACACTGAAGGCTGCCCAAGGCACAAAAACCAATGGGCTGAGAGCTTTGTTGCTATCCATCAAGGCCTCTTGTTAGCGATGCATTACAGGGATACTTCTATATCCAAGCTGTTTCCCCAGGCATAGAAACAGACTTGACAACTGCCCTGTGTATGTGTGGCTGGAGGATGAACCAAAGGGTTTTTATTCAGGGTCCAACAGCCCCTGTGAAGTAAACCACACACGAGGGCACTCCAAGAATGCTGGTGAAAACTGAGAAGTGAGGCTAAGCTTGGGCAGGCAGTTAAGCTGCCATTTAGGATCTCTGTGTCCCACGTGGCACCCCTGCCACGTTTTAAGTTTTAGCTCTACCTCCAGTTCCAGCAGGGAGCAGATGATGTCCCAAGCACCTGGGAGCCTGTCACCCAGACAGGTTCCAGACTGCAGCCTGACCAAGCTCTGGCTGCTGTAGGCATCAAGGGAGCGAACCAGCAGGTGGACGACTTCCCTTCAACTATGCCTTTCAAATCAGTGAAGAAACATCTCAAACGAAATTCTGTATTTGCTGGAAGAGAATCCTTCGATGTGAGCAGTCTACATTCCAGGAGCTCAGAACCACTGGCCTAGCATTCTAGGCATTCTAGAATCACCAACACCTTTCCCCCATCTGCTCTTTTTCTCCAAAAGTTGCCTTGCTGTAATGTTATTGAAAGGGAAGCCAGTCTTCTCACCTGCCTACGAAAGAACGTTTTTAAGAGAGGAGAAACCAGAGGGAAGTCACTTGCAGGTCCGTTTACTAGGGCCTCCTGGGGAAGGGCCTGCAGGGCAGCATTTGGCTTTGGTGCCAGGAAAAGCCTTGCCACTCTTTCCCCTTCAAGAACTGCAGGCTCCTTCCTAAGAAAGCTAGGAAACCAATGATGGCTTTCATTCTTCATCCAGCAAAACAACGCATGAGCAACTGACCCTGGGATCTCTCACTATTAACACAAGGTATTCCTTTATCTTTCTTCTTGGCTAAATTCTTCTACTCATAGTCTAAGAATTAACTTCCTCCATGCCCACCTCGCCATGCAGGCATGTGTACATGCACAAGACACACACAAATAGAAAAAAAAACTGCAAAATACTTAATAGGAAACATAGCATCATGGCCAAGACGTGTAAAATCATATATGAACTGGGTAAAGACACAACTTTGTGTATCCAACTCCAAAACAGTCCGTGACAGGCCTAGCACTGATGACAGACAGTGCAACCGTGCACACAGAGTGACACTCAAGTATTACTCAGGAGGTATCTACGCTACCCGCAACTGGGTTCACCAAAAATGACAGCATATGGCAGGATGCTAACAGCTCAAGCTACTGGTTTGGGCGCTTAAAAACCTTCCATCTGGTTAAGAGCTGCCCCGGGTCAGAGTGCCTGGATCTGAGATCTAGCCCTGCTCCCCACTTCCGGCTACTGTACACCCTGGGAGGCAGGAGGTGATGGCTGAAGTACTTGGGTTCCTGCTACCTGTAACCTCTTTCATATAAAAGAAACTAAACTGAAAATTGATTTCCAACATGGGGCTGAGGTTTAGGGGTTCGGCTGCAAGGACAGTCCTTGCCACCGCTGCACGGGGCTGAGGGTGTCATTCTTCCATCCACAGATGACATGCTAAAGAACGAAGTCAAGCCAGCCCGGATCTTAGCCGACTTCAGTTACAATGAAGGACCCACCTCTTCCTTTAGGAGCTGTAAGAGTCACTGACAGCAGGAAGGCATGAGGGAAGCCCTAAACACAGACAAGTGCAGGCACCTCCCATCCTAACTCAGCTGTGACCCTGTCTCTGGGCCAGCTGCTTCCACGCTCCATGACCCTCACCTTGTGGTTCCAATCAGTACCTTGGCAAGACCCAGTTAAAGCCATCAAGTCACAAACAAAAAGAGATAGCAAAACCTAATACTTCTACCACTCAGGAGACCCAAGCCTACGGAAATGGACTGCGCTGAAAAAGCAAGCAAGCAAGCAAACAAAACTTGAAACTTACCCGAGAGAAGGACACAGTTGTGTTCCGATACTGTGAGTGGATTTGGAAAATAAGCAAAGTCACATTGTTGAAAATGTTGCGCACCACAGCTTCCTTTGGCAAAGTTCTGTTGAGCTCGAAGCTTCTGAATTTCCCCACTGAAAATTCAAGGAGATCTATGGAGAGAGAAACTGCGCATCAAGACGCGGGGCCCTCCCAAGCCAGTCTAGAGAAATCCGATTCGGGTATACCGTGGGTGGCAAGCTCTCAGGAGGGCTCCCCAGGGCAGACACTGTCACTGTCCCATGCCACCAGTAAGGGACAACATTGAATGGTGACGGGTCCATCCCACCCACGAACAGCAGCGCTGAGAGGCTGGGAACAACGCTTTAGGTCTCTGAAGATGTGCTCCTAGGGCCGCCAGAGACTTCCCATCCAGGAGCAGCAGTGACAATTCTGCTGGGCCAGACCACCTCTAGGTTGTGCAGAGATGCCTCATGCTCTGGAGAATTCTGGAGCGCCACGGTTTCCCCTGTGATCACAGGCCAGCTACTCCCTTCCTTCAGGCCTCTGCTGGCTCACCCAACAAAGCGGAACTACATCCTCTAACTCATCAAGGGAGGGCTGATGCGTTAGCCTGGTGCCTACACCGTGCTCTTCACACACAGTGGAGCCCTTGTCCTTCCGGGAGAGAGACGCCTGGGTTTGTTTCAGAACCCAGGTCAGACTCCCCTCTGAAAGAGCAGTTTCCAACACCTCTTGGCTCTCTATCTCTTTTTTCTCTGTCACTCTGCCTATCAAATAAACAAACAAATCTACTTTTTAAAAAGTCTACATCAGACTATAAATCCACCTGAGCAGGTCCACGTTCCAATAGTGTAACAAATGGCCATTGCTTGTCCACAGTGAAACCACAGCAACAGGGTTACTGCTGTCTAAGCAATTCAGATATGAATACAAACAGTCCACAAGGCAAGGTACTGGAAAACAAAAATTAAGTCATGGGATCTGCTTGTGATGCCTTTCTCAAGAGGTGCATCTGTGGGGCTAGCATGATAGTTCAACTAGCTAATTCTCTACCTCACAGTGCCAGCATGCTATATGGGCACCAGCTCATGTCCAGGCTGCTCCACTTCCCATCCAGCTCCCTGCTTGTGGCCTGAGAAAGAAGGGGAGAACAGTCTAATGCCTTGGGACCCTGCACCCACATGGGAGACCCTGAAGAAGCTCCTGGCCCCTGGCTTTGGGTCAGCTCAGCTCTGTTGTTTGCGTAGTAAACCAGCGGATGGAAGATCTTGTGCTCTGTCTTTCCTTCTCTCTGTAAATCTGCATTTCCAATAATAAAATAAATCTTTAAAGCAAAAGCAGCATATCTGGCATTTCAGGAGTCCTTGTAAGTTCCAGAAAACTAGAAGAGGATCTCACCAGGCTTACCTTCTGTAGCTAGCAGGTAGGAACCAGGCACCTGCCGACAGTTCTTGAGATGTAGCAGAAGCTGAGTGTCTGCATGGGTTATGTTTGAGTTTTTCCTTTTCCTCACACCTTTCAGATTTTCTACAGTCATTATGAGGTGTCCTTACTCAGAAAGTAAACATGGCCTAGTTGTTACAGATCCTGACTACACTGCCAACACTTGCAGGTGGTATTTAAAATCCCGCTGCAGGGACCCTCTGTACCCCAGGTCAATCAGAATACCTGACACAGGGGACAGGCGGCAACTATACAGTAAACATTGATTGAAATTATACACAGAGAAGCACACCATCTCCACACACCCATGAAACCACTCAGGCACTGGCACTCCAGGCTCTTAGAAAGTCCCGTGGGGCCCCCCAATCATGACGGCATCCTTCCTCCCCTAGGTTCCTAAGCTTCAAACACTGGGAATTTAGTTCTTGGAACTAAATGTGCAGCATGAATTCTTTTTGCATCCATTTTTGTTGTTGTTGTTTAAATCAGAATAAAGTTTGGTCCGGCTGCTCTAAGAATATATAATTCATGCATCACCATTGTTACATGCTTCACACAGAGAATGCACCCCAATGTCTCTCTTCTATTGCTAATAAACCCTGGGTTACTTCCAGTGACGATAACCTCATGTTCTGGACACGCTCTCTGGTGCACCTGTGTCCACACTTCCGCTGCAGGTCAGTTGCCTCAGGTAGGGAGCAGTGTCACGCTCAGCATCAGCAGAGACAGCTAAGCCACCTGCCCAGCACCTTGACATCACACCTGGTACTGGGGCTTCTGCCCTCTGACTTGAATTAGCATCAACCTGATGGCGGTAAGAGCCTTTTGTTTTGTTTACGGGCAACTTACAGTTCCTTGCTGTAAGTTTGTTCAAGTGTTTTACCCATTTTTAAAACCAGATCATCTTTGCACTGTAAAGTTCTTTATATACTACACGCAAGTACCCAGTCAGAAATGTGAGCAACTTCCCACTGATGGCCTGGGAAAGCAGTGGAGGATGGCCCAAAGCCTTGGTACCCTGCACCTGCATGAAAGACCCAGTAGAAGCTCCTGGCTTCAAACTGGCTCAGCTCCAGCCTTTGCCACCGACTGAGGAGTGAAACAACGGATGGAAGATCTTTATCTCTCCTTCTCTGTGTGAATCTGCATTCACAATAAAAAATAAACTTTTTTTTTTTAAAGAAGATGTGAGCAAATGTCTCCTCGTTTTTCAACCATTAGATGAGCACAAGCTATAGTTTAACATGGTCCAGTTTTTCAAGTTTCCTTTATGATTCATCCTACTCATGTCACTTAAAAAAATCACCTCTGGGCCCAGCGCGATGGCGCAAGTGGTTAAGGTCCTCGCCTTGCACACCCGGGATCCCACATAGGCGCCGGTTCTAATCCCGGCAGCCCCACTTCCCTTCCAGCTCCCTGCCTGTGGCCTGGGAAAGCAGCCAAGAATGGTCCAAAGCTTTGGGACCCTGCACCCATGTGGGAGACCCGGAAGAGGCTCCTGGCTTCGGACCGGCATAGCATCAGCCATTGCGTTCACTTGGGGAGTGAATCATCGGACAGAAGATCTTCCTCTCTGTCTCTCCTCTCTGTATATCTGCCTTTCCAATAAAAAAAATTTTTTTAATTAAAAATAAAAAATCACCTTTGCCAACATACTTTAGGATCACAAAGATGAATTCGGCCCGTCAGCAGGTGTTGCCAGTTTTACCTTTCCGGCTCATGTCCACACACAGCCTGAGGCAGGGGTCATGGTTCATCCTCCCGCGTGCTTCCAGGGGATAGCAGCCTCCATCAGCATACCACACTCTCCCTCCACGGGACTCAGGCCAGCCTGCTTTCCAAGTGCAGGTGCTCCCCAGGTATCGGTCCTCACACCCATCTCACAAAGCCTTCATTCCTGCCCCTACCTCCCCCCAAATGCCCGATGGGATTTTAATCAAGACTGCATGGAAAGAGAAAACTAATTCAGGGGAGAAATGATATCTGCCAAACATAGAATGTTCTCTATGAAGCTGAGCTATCTCTCTATTTCCTTTCTCAATTTATTTCAAAAATGTTTCATAGCTTTTATCTGCAATATTTAATGTTTGCTAGTACCATGTAAACTGGCTTTTTCTTCTGAATTTCAATATCCAGTTGTCCCTTCCCCAACACATTCAACTGCTCCAGCTGGTACTGCTGTCAAGACTGTTCTAGAACTCCACCCTGATGTTAAAAGGAGGTCACAGCTATGCTCTCTCCCACTCTAGCTATCCTTAACCTGACTTATGCGAGAAAATACTTCGGCATTATTAATCTTGCCAGTTCAACGGCCGTTTCAAAACCTTGACAGAAAAATTGTATTTTAATCCAGCCAACACAGCTTGTCAGAGCCGGGCAGACCTTAATCAGGTCTGCTACAGGACCTCAGGCAGGCGTTTTCTCTTCTCCAGGCCTCAGGGCGAACTGGAGGCCACTGTAGCACACAGCCGCAAGCCTCAAAAAAGGGGAAATTCTAACTGCCTGGTGCCACAAGGTCAAGTCCATTGTCAACTTTCATTCCCTCTTGACAACTTCACTGGGCTCTCTAGTTTGAGAAGCCACACCAGGGATCCTCAGAAAGGGCCTGCAAACAAACGGGAAGAAAGGGACTCGGAGGCCCAGGGTGGTCACAGAAACGCCTGGCTCTTCGTTAGCATCAGCTTCGGGAAAAGATGTCTACAGACTGAGCACAGAAGACACGAGAGGTGCCGCTTAACCTAAGGCCCTGCGTGGGTGCCCACACCCTACACAGGAGGGCCTCATTCGTGTCTAACCACTCCAGTGTCCTGAAGCTGTGAGCCAGGAGGTACCAGGTGACAGACAAATTGAGTCACCAGATCCTGGCATCCTTGTGGGAGACCTGGGCCCCTGGCCCTTGGCCAAGTCCAGCACTAGCTACTGCAGGTACCGGGGAGTGAACCAGAGGATGGAAGACAAGGGGGAATTTGCTCATTCGTTTTCACTGTGCGTCTCAAATACATACATACATATATATATATATACATATATATATATATATTTTAAAGTAAATTAAAAGATGCACAAGTTGAGACAGTTCTCACAGCATAGCCTGGGAGGAACTGCATTTAATTCCTTCTCACAAAAACAGACTTGGCAAAAGAAGACACATCCTGCATTCCTGAGCCGGAACTTCCCCTCTAAGTCACCAGGAAAAACGATTCACTTTATGAGGCATAATCAGGTCTTGTGACTTGGGGCAGCACCTCACATGATAATACGACGACGCCTACGGCCAGTGTCGGGGGGTGTTTAGCGCTGACTCACAAAGCCACCCTCCCTCAAGAGCGCACCCTACTTTTACTGCCAGAGCGTACACGCAGCTCAATGGTGGACACACTTGTGTCCCGCTGAGGTGCCTGGCTCCAGCTTCCTATGCAGGTAGTCCCTGAGAGGCAGCCATGAAGGCAGGAGGGGTTGGGGGCTCCTGTTCCTGGTGGGGCACACGTGATGCTGATGGGGTGGTCCTGACCCCAGCCTCAGCCTGTCTGCAGGCATCTGTGGAGGGAGGGAGGTAGCAGGTGGAGGGAGCACCACTCTGGGTGTGCGCTCTCTGCTGCTCAAATAGGTAAATCAAACTAAAAAAAAAAAAAAAGAAATCTCTTCGGCCATCTGACCTGAAGAAAAGGGCTTTTTTCTCATTTCATATAACCATTCTTACACAACATCACCTTTCTATTCCAACAAGAACAGCCCAATCTTAGTGTTTTTTCTTTCCCAGCCACATGCTAATCTGGCAACCTTAAACACCTCCAGCTCCCCCATGAGTGACAGCCACATTCAAGGACTGGGTCGGCCAGGTTGGCCAGATCATAATTCTCTTCCAGAGCGCTGTTAGAAAAGTTATCTGCTTTGGTAGTTGGCTCTGGCCACCAGGCAACTAACTACCCCTCTCAACTTCTCAACTGTCATCAGCCCTTAAGAGCCCATGGGAGACACGGCTGCACAACCTACCTCTCACAGACACCGGAAAGGGACACACCATTGGCCACACCAGCAGCCTGCCACGCGCCTAACGCATGGCCCACGGGACGTACAGTGGACCGTCTGCCTGACATCCAATCGTCACCTCCACAATTACGCATGAGCCAGTGTGTACGGCTCTGAACCAACAAGGAAAAGGCCCTAAAAGCCACACAGAACAGCAACTGCAAGAAGCCGGCAAATTGCTCCCAAGGATGGTCCTTCCAGACACGTCCCAACACCCACACCTGCCTCCTTCCGACACGCATGGAGCGTTGAAGCTGGCACTTGGGTTGTGCAAGTAAGCCGATCCTACAACGGGGGACAAAGTCCGACTTAGGGCAGTTGCTCAACGTCTTCAGCTGGTCTCGGCTCCGAGTTCTCTGAGAGCTGCCTGGCCATTTCCCAAGAGCACCCTGCAGGGCAGAGGCTGCTTTTCTTGCTGATTTTTATCCACTACTGTGGGGAGTATCAGCTTTTATCAACACGCAGCAGTTACCACACTGTCCCTTCCCTTCACAGAATAATAATACCCAACTAAACAGACATTGGCATCAAAGGCAGGGAGGCCGGAGACGCTGTCTGAAAGCGTACTCGCTTCAGTCGGGTCTGGTGTCAGCAGTGACTGCGAGGCCGCCCATTCCACACTGCAGGGCCACTGTAAGTTCTGCTTGTCCCACTTCTGACCCAGCTCCCTCAAACACATTTCTCATCACTTCTCGGCCTTCTGGCTAAGATCGAGTGTAAAAAAATTTATTTCTCAAATTACTGTCCACATTCCTCGCCTCTTGTGCAAAACTTTCTGGACATTAAACATTAAAAGCAGTGAACCAATAACAGCTAGGGGTCAACCACAGCCAGCGTGACGTCAGTAGGGGGCCAGCACGGATCAAGGCCAAAGTCAGCTTCTTGCTTCCTCTCCTCTCTCCCTTCCTCCTCAGTCTATTTTGGGAAGTGAGAATATTCTCAGGAGGTGGATACAGGGAGAACTGAATTCAACATGGGACAAAGGTCTCGCTGCACCTGCCCCACCTGCGGCCGCGAGCGCGATGCTCACCTTTGGCCGCCAGGTGCAGGCAGTGAGCGCCTCGCAGGCGTCGAGGAACTGCGCAACAACGCACACGTGGAGAACGTGGCGCTGCCGGCGGTGCCAGGAGCCTCCTGCTCTCTTCCAATTGCGATTTTTTTTTTCCTCCAAAAAAATATAACAGCTCTTTTCAGCTCTGGCCTGAATCACAGCGTTCAGGACTTTCCACGAACACAGACGCATTCTTCCGAAAACACTACGTTTCACAGTTGCAGCCCCCAGGCCCAATCGAAGGCGAAATGCGCTCTAAGTCCACCGACAAGCAAGTGGCCTCGCGCAGCGTATCCCTGGGGAGCCTGAAGCTGGGCCTGACACCTCTGTCTTGGGCACCCCCTCCTGCGGGGTCCCTCGTGCGGTCCAGCTCTGATCCGCACATGCGTGCGGACAGCGGCGGCATTCCAAGGGCCTAAGCTCCACCGCCCAAGTGGAGAAGTCTCCTAAAGGACGCGAACATGGCCGCGACCACCCCACCTCCCTTCCCCGTGCCTGACGCGGCCTCGGATCCCGCGAAAGAGTCCGCAGCCTGCACACACAGGCCGGCAGGAAGGCTCCCTCAGCAGGGAACCCGGGAGCATCCGCCGAGCCCGCCTCACGCCTCGCCCACCCGTCCGGGGCCTCCCGAGCACCCCGGGTTGCGAGCGCCAGGCGCCACGACTTACCCTGGCTGGCGTCTGCCACGACCTCGGCGCCCGCAGCCGACGCCAGCAGCGCCAGCGCGAGCAGCCACGCGAGCCCCATCGCCGCCCGGGTTCTAGGCCGAGGTCGGGTGAGGCGCGGGCGTGCGCTCCAGGGCCTGGCCGCCTCACCAGCGCTAGCCCGGGGACGCCATCGCCCTGCCAGGCACACGCGCCGCGCACCTGCCAGTCCCGCCGTGGCCGGCGGTGTGGCCCGACCTCCGCCCCGGGGAGAGGCGGCCTCTTCCGGGCGCGAGCGCGGCCTGGCGGCTCGTGGATTCCGGGCGCGCCCTCTGCCGGCGCGTGCGGGGCTGTGCCGGGGCGCCGGGGCGTCTAAGGCGCTTCCCGGCCGGCGGCCGAGCCAAGGCACGCCGCGCGTAACGGTGCCTGGGCTGCTGCAGCCGCCCGTGTGGCCGGCGTGCTGGGCAGAGGCCGAAGGCCTGGCTGCGGAGGCGGTTTTGCTTTCTGGAAGCAAGGCCTCGGGAGACGGTGGAGGCGCCAGCTTTCTGCATCCACCTCGCAGCTAGCAATCCAAGGCGACGCCCCCGGGGCTACCTGGGACCCTTCTCCGCACCTTGCAGGGCAGCGTCGTAATCCTGTAACCCTCGGTGCGTGAAAGCCAGGAAAGGTAACAGTTTTTAAAATCTAATTCATGGGTTTGGTGTAATAATTCCACTTACGTTAGTAGGAATTCGTGTGCAAAATGACGCACCGAAGTGTGGTTTATAGCAACAAAAGCAGTTAAAGCGATCCAAATGCCCAAAGATGAAGCCATTCATTGAATCACCAACCCTGGCTGTTACAGATATTTGGCAAGTGAGACAATGAATGAGAAACTAACTCTGCCTTTCAAATAAATGAACAAGTACATAAAATAAGGGGCTAGCGTGCTCAGCAGCTACTTGTGACACCAGCATCTCTTGTTGGAGCGCGGATTCAAGTCTGGATTCTGATCCAGCTTCTTGCTGATGAACCTGGACGCTGCTGGAAGATGACCCAAGTCCTTGAGCCCCTGCCACCCGCAAGTGGGTAACCAGGATGGAATTCCTGGCCTGGCTGCTGTGACCTTTTGGGGTGTGAATCCACAGATGGAAGATTTCTCTCTGTGGAACTGCCTCTCCCTGTCAGTTTGACTTTCAAAGAAGAAAAATGTTTTTAGAGAAAAAAAAAAAACTTAAAATTTAAGGGCCCAGAGCAATAGCCTAGTAGGTAAATCCTTGCCTTCCATGTGCAGGGATCCCATATGGGTGCTGGTTTGTATCCCAGAGGCCCTGCTTCTCATCCAGCTCCCTTCTTGTGGCCTGGGAAAGCAGACGAAGACAGCCTAAAGTCTTGGGACCCTGCACCCGTGTGGGAGACATGGAAGAAGTTCCTGGCTCTTGGCTTCAGATCCGCATAGCACTGGCCGTTGCGCTCACTTGGGGAGGGAATCATTGGATGGAAGATCTTTCTCTCTGTCTCTCCTCCTCTCTGTATATCTGACTTTCCAATTAAAAAAAAAATCTTAAAAAAAAAAAAGAAAGAATAGCAATACAGAGACTAAAAAGACATCCAAATCCAAGATCTGGGTGACTCAAGCCTTAAAAGCTTTTAATGTTTAGAGAACAAAAGAGCAAGAAGAAGGGAAGGCTCTAGGTTTTTGGTTCAACTCAAGACACCTTAAACAAAGATGGGAGGTGGCCCAAGTCAGGAAGGCCCGCTCTGAAATGCCCATTCAGCCTTCCCCTCACTAATTTCACCTTCTTTCTGCATCTTTCTTTCTTTTTCTTTTCTTTTTTTTTTTTTTTGGTCTTATTCTCTTTCCTGTGGATGCTCATTCACATTTAGTTTGGCACTTCATGAAATTCACTCAAAGCTTGTTTAGTAACAATTACAAATCATTACATTAGGACATTCATTCCTTCCAAGTCTGTATTTTCAGGGACTAGAAATGCGGAAACAAAGCAGCAGGTGGCTCCTGGCCTGCCGAGTGCAACCCACACTGACAATCCGAGGCAGTCCCCCAGGGCTACGTGGAGCTGGAAGATCCTCCTGGCCAGTGGAGCTGGGATTGCACTGTAGCACTCATGTTTCTGCCGTGCTGGTGTAGGTGTGTGCCAGTTGACTGTAGCCAGGCTAAGACATAGTTACACACAGGACATAAAGACCAACACCGACCATCCGACCATCCGTGGCTGTTACTGAGGGATGCGTGTGCTCACATCCCCTGACCATTCTCTGAGAGCACAGTAACCACTTAGAGAAGTCCACAGCTGCAGTAGCAGCTTCCTTTCCTGCTGTTCTTGGTTTCATCTCACGTTACTTAACGCACTGCAACCAGAGAAGCAGTAAGCTCTCCTGCACAGCCCAGCCAAGGCGAAGTGGACTGTATCATCTAGCCTCACTCAGACACAACTCCGTGGGATAACGGATCGCCTCGTAGTGTGTTTCTCAGAATGTTCTCTTGCCTACAGCGACCATGGCCGTGATCACCCTCGGGATGTGAACTGCAACACTAGAAGCGCAAAAATTGTAGTCATGATTGGGAGCAATTAGCTCACACCCAGCATTCGGGAAAGTTTATCTGAAGCACAGAGTTCTTGCTGGCTCACAGCAGCAGGGACTAGGCCAGCTGAAAGCCAGAAGCCAGGAACCCCAGCTGAGTCTCCCACGTGGTGGCAAGGGTCCAAACACTGGGGTCTTCATCTGCCCCCTCCCCCCAGGGTGCGTGTTAGCAAGGAAGCTGGAATCCAGAGTGGAGCCAGGACCCCACCCAGATCCTCATCAAAGGCTGGCCCCTCAGGAAAGTTTTATAAAGAGATGTGTACAAAAAGGCTTGAAGTTCAAAGGAACAAAGTGAACAGACAGACATGAGAAAGAGCATCACGTGTGTTCCGTGTAGCGTGCACTCAAGTAGAAGGACAAAGAACTGCACAGTATTGCAGCCTAGTACTGAATAAATCATACAGGTAGTTGAGGAGTTAAGATGCCATGTTAAAAAAATACTGATTTTTTTTTTTCCGAAAAATTAGTGTTACTACAGATTTAAAAAATGGGTACTGGGGTTGGAAATGAAGCAACTGGAACTCCAAATGGTGCTCACCTTGGGGTGCCCGTGTCACAGATGGCAACTTACTGTGCTGCACCACAAGTCTGGTCTCAGCCTCCATTCAGAGCTGATGTTCTCAATGGTGTGATCTCCGGCGTGGGAGGAATCCACCCCCACCTTCCTGAAATCCACCATCCTGGGCCAAGCCAATGTGCGTTGTGTCATGGCGGCGTGAATTCCAGCTGGGACTGAATCACTTTGGAACACTTCCCAGCACTCATTAAGGCACAGGGTTTCTGCCTCCCTGGCCTTGTCATTCACATTCTTTCCCGAGTCAGTCTTCCATTCAGTGTTTTCTAGAGCCTACTCTATGCCTGCTGATACTGCGGTGTTTCTTTTCCATCTTTTCCCAGCTTCCAACCCCTCCCTGCTCCTCGGCTAGAAACCCCCGTTGATCCTTGTTGAGGACGGCCTAAAGCCTTGGGACCCTGCACCCATGTTGAAAGATCTCTAAGAAGCTCCTGGCTCCTGGTTTCAGATGCGCTCAGCTCTGGTCATTGTGGCCACTTGGGGAGTGAACCAGCAGACAGAAGATCTTTTTCTCTGTATATCTGACTTTCCGATTAAAAAAAAATTCTTTTAAATCTTAAAAATAAGATTGCTCCAAATTACAGTTAAAACAAAAACCGGAGGTATGTTTTGTTAGTTGTATTATAGGTATGAGCCTCATCTGGGGTGGTTCCCTGTTAACCCAAGTGGTTACGGGCTGAGATACAAGTTCCATGAAAAGCTTGGACTCAGTGCAGCAAGCTGCTTGCCCAAGGGGTTGGCTTCCCCCACCTTCACCGGGAGCTTAATCCCCCAAGCCCTGTATTCACAGTATTTGAGAGTTGGAGCTACTGAAAATGGTGGGTCCACTTCTTGTGAATTCTACGGAATGCGCCACAAGGGGTTGTTGTCCCTAGTCGTTTATCTGTAGTAAGAAGGAGACTGCATGGAATCACTGCGAACGCCACGCCCCTGAGATCTGTGGAAACGGGAATGTGTAAAGAGGAAGTTGTTGTCATTACACATAAGGCGGGTACAGATCCAGGAAGGTGCAGTTCAGGAGCATGCGGCAGGGTTGGCAACAAGACAAACTCCCACCACCTCACCCCACCCACCCCACCCGACCCTCAGGGCAGAGGCACAGGGAAGGATGAGCGTTGGGTACTTTGCAACCCTTCTGCCCCAGAGCAGGCTCCTGCACTAGGGCCTGGGCCAGCCTAGGACAACTAGGGAATTGTATCTCTCCCTGGAACATGATAGAAAAACTGAGAGACAACTTTGAACGGCAGGTGCTTTCCAGACCTTGAAATAGAAAGAAGTCCAGTTAAAGACGTCGGTGCTGCTCAGGGCAGTGGCATGGGTTAATGTGTTATTAAGAGACTGGTTTTGTTAGAAAAGCAAGCAAAGGAAAATAAGCATTCCAGGTGATGTTACCACGTGATAGAGTAGGTATGTGAAGTCCTGGTTAAGACGGAGCTTGGGGCTCCGGCATCACCGCGCTCTGAGTTCCAATTCTAGGCTTTCGGCTCCTGATTCCAACTTAAGCCAATGAGCACACTGGGGGGAGGGGAGGGGAGCAGGTGATGGGACGGGAGCAGTCCCGTGGAACACCTGGAATGAACTACAACTCAGGCTTTGGCTGGCCAGGCCCAGTCCCTGCCTGTTGCAGATACCTGGGAGATTAGTAAGCAGATCGAACTTTCTTTGCCTTTCAAAAATCAAGTGAAAATAAATAAGAATTTGAACTACATGGGAAGGTAGGATAAACCATTGAATGACCCCCATAGCATCCAACGACCTCGGCAGACGGCCGAACACCTGCCAGCCTGCAGCAGCTTGCCCAGTTGCACACCTGGAGATGCCCGGCCAGGGAAGACCCCCGCAGCTGCAGGTGCAGGGAGCCAGCCGGCGCCAGCCCTCCTCGCGGGGCGTGCCCTCCTCGCGGGGCGTGCCCTCCTCGCGGGGCGTGCCCTCCTCGCGGGGCGTGCCCTCCTCGCGGGGCGTGCCCTCCTCGCGGGGCGTGCCCTCCTCGCGGGGCGTGCCCTCCTCGCGGGGCGTGCCCTCCTCGCGGGGCGTGCCCTCCTCGCGGGGCGTGCCCTCCTCGCGGGGCGTGCCCTCCTCGCGGGGCGTGCCCTCCTCGCGGGGCGTGCCCTCCTCGCGGGGCGTGCCCTCCTCGCGGGGCGTGCCCTCCTCGCGGGGCGTGCCCTCCTCGCGGGGCGTGCCCTCCTCGCGGGGCGTGCCCTCCTCGCGGGGCGTGCCCTTCATGACTCCACCCCCTCCGGGTCACAGCGCCGTGATTGGCCGTGACGCGCACGCGCGCCGCGGAGCAGCCACAGGCCGCAGCGTCTGTATCCGTGTCGGAAAAACATGGCGGACCGCCTGACGCAGCTGCAGGACGCCGTGAACTCGGTGAGCGATGCACTCGCCGTCTGCCTGTGTCCTGAAGGAAAGCGGCAGGGAGGAGAAGGGGCACGGGTGCCGGGGCTCGGCCGCCGCGGCGGTGGCGAGGGGTGATCCCTGAGGGGTGGTCGCTCCGGCGGGCCGAGGCTCTCGGTCGGTCTCTCCAGCCCGCGCGCTCCTGGGCTCTGGCCGACGTTTCGGTGGAGTGGACCTTCTCTATGTTGGATGGGCATCGTTCCCGGCGGTCGTCAGGCCCCGGCAAGCCCGCAGGTCCGCACGCCTTAACCGCCGGGGAGCCCTGGGCATGGTGCTGCGCTCTGCCCCGCCGGCTGCGGGGATGATGTCCCCGGTCAGGTCTGCCTGTATGGGGCGAGTGTGACCGCGACAGCCTAGGACCTGGCCACGACTGGAAGCTACTGTTGTGAAACAGGGACTCTGGGCTCTGCGAAGAGCGCGGGAGCTGGTGAGGCTGGGTACCGAGGTGAATATCCTGCCTTGGAGATTGGAAGCATTCCCTCAGGCGGCTAGCATGATGTCACATACCCCGGGGACATTTCAGTGATGCAAAAACAACCTGTGGCTGGGGAGTTAGCTGTCAGAGCTGCAGGAAATTGGAATATAGAGCCATATGAAGTGAAATACAGGGGCCGTTAGCATTTCTGGGAATTGTAATTATTGATTGCCCTTAGAACTCCATGTCATATTTGCCATAATTTTTTTTTTAAGATTTATTTATTTGTTGGAAAGTCAGATATACAGAGAGGAGGAGAGACAGAGAGGAAGATCTTCCATCCGATGATTCCCTCCCCAAGTGAGCGCAACGGCTGATGCTATGCCGATCCGAAGTGGGAACCAGGAACTTCTTCCATGTCTCCCACACGGGTGCAGGGTCCCAAGACTTTGGGCTGTCTTCGACTGCTTTCCCAGGCCACAAGCAGGGAGCTGGATGGGAAGTGGAGCTGCTGGGATTAGAACCGGCGCCCATATGGGATCCCGGGGTGTTCAAGGCGAGGACTTAAGCTGCTAGGCCACGCCGCCGTGCCCTTGCCATAATTCTTTTTTAAGATTTGTTTATTTTTATTGGAAAGGCAGATTTACAGAAAGAAAGAGAGGCAGAGATCTTCCATCCGCTGGCTCACTCCCCAAGTGGCCATAGTAGCCAGGGCTGAGCCGATCCCAAGCCAGGAGCCAGGAGCTTCTTCCTGGTCTCTCACGTGGGTGCAGGGTCCCCAGGCTTTGGGCCGTCCTACACTAACCAGCAGGGAGCTGGATGGGAAATATAGCAACCAGGACACAAACCGGCACCCATGTGAGATCCCGGCGCATGCAAGGCCACTGAGCCATTGTGCTGGGACCTTGCCGTACTTATTTTATGTCTCTTTATAAAGTTGATGCTCAGTTTTTATCATGGAGGGGTTCCCCACCCCCATGAATATTTGTTGGATAAAAGACTAAATGGATCTTGAAACTTGTGAAGGACAGAACGAGCTGCCATTATGTTGTTTAGGGTAAATCAACTTCTCAGGTTAATTAGAGCAGGCTTAGAATCTAGGTTTGTGGAGTTCCTAAGCACTGATTCCCTGTTGCAGATAGCCGACTAACAAGCTTAATGGCTAGTCCAGTAACTGTGAGGGAGTGAGGAAACTCAGATTATTACTGAAGCATCGGAAACCCGAGAGTTGAAGATTTAACTTGCTGGCCACAGTGGGATGAGTTGAGGTCTTCCGAGAAGGGGGGACCTAACATGGTGGGCTGTTAGAGGTGGTTAGAGGACTGCTTTGGGGTGAGCTCACTGATGGAAGGAAAGCAGAAGCTTCTGTGGTACTGGCAGGACGGGGGGCTGAAGGGAAAGCCCTCATCTGGAATGGGACTATTGACTAGGACATGCTCACTACCTATTTGGTACCCATTGAGGGAACAGTTGGCTGCTTTGCAGATGGGAGGGAACACGCAGCTCGGTCCTGGAGCTGCCCTAGGTTAGGACAGCCCAAGTCTTAGGACACACTTCTAATCACCTGAGCTGCCTTTTGTAACAGTCTTTTCCACTTTTCTTTAAGCCTGGGAACACTCAAATCTCAGGAAAGGAACTGCATATGAGTACCACTTTAAAAAAAATCCTGGAGTCATACTTAGATATTTGCCAAATTTGTTCTTTCACTTTTTCAATAAAAATCTTATTGGTGCATATTTCTCATTGTTCTGTACCCTAAGATAAGATTAGAAAATTTTCTGGCAACAGAATAAACTGAATCTTTCCATTTCGTTTCCTCTAAATTGATATCAACATGACCTAGATTGCTGCTGAGTTTGGTTGCATGGTGGAAACATCTATCTGTGAACTCACTGGCGTGTTTTATCCAGAGCACTCCTCTCCTTTCCACTTCTGTGCTCAGAAACCAAAGAATTGTTCTGGTCACCAGTTAAAGTTTTAACCCTTAGGACCCTGGGTAACTGACCTGCTCTGTCTGGCCACAGAGCATCCCTGGGTAACTCTGACCTGCTCTCTCTGGCCACAGCTCGCGGATCAGTTCTGTAACGCCATCGGAGTGCTGCAGCAATGCGGGCCTCCCGCCTCCTTCAGCAACATCCAGACAGCCATTAACAAAGACCAGCCCGCGAATCCCACGGAAGGTAAGCCGGCTTCCGGGCTTCTTGTGTACTTTACGTTAGAGCTACTGAGAGACTCAACCTGTTGCTTCTTTCTACAGATGCTATTGTTTGAGATGCTACTAGAGGTTTTATTTGTGGCACCAGAAATTTTGTATTATAGTCTGATTGCATGACCTCTAATTGCTCAGTTCATGTCATACCAGATGGATATATTTTGGAGAAGAAATTTTAGGAACCTCGCTGAACTTGACTGAGGGACGATGATAAGTAGGGCATTCTCTCAGGAGATGGATTTATTCCCGTGACTGCACATTCTAACAAAGAAAATGACACGTGTTATGCTAATTCCAAGTTTGTTCTCATATTAAATGTGTAACGGGGTTGGTGTCTTAAAATTAATTTCTTTAAAGATTTACTTGAAAGGCAGAATGACAGCAAGGCAGTAGACCTTCCACTAATTCACTCTCCAAGTGGAGCCAGGAACAACTTCTTGGTCTCCACATTAGTGGCAGGGACCCAAGGCCTTGAACCATCTGCTGCTCCTTTCCCAGGCTTGTTAGTAGGAACTGGATCAAAGTGGAGCAGCCAGGACTCTAACCAGTATTCCAGTATAGAATGCTGGCATTGCAAGTAGTGGCGTAACTCTTGAAACATCACGTTCATTATCAGAACTTCAGTATAAGAAGCTTCCATGAAGTCTTCTGGCTTTATTAACTGAAATTTACTTTCTGGGTTTGCAAATCTGAGATTGTCTCCTGTACTAATCCAGTGCTGTCTCCTACAGAGTATGCGCAGCTCTTCGCAGCTCTCATTGCACGGACAGCAAAAGACATTGATGTTCTGATCGACTCCTTACCCAGTGAAGAATCAACAGCTGCCTTACAGGTAAAAATCTTCTTTCCTTGTACAATTTTACTAGTAATAGAGAATTTCAAATTATAGGAAATAAATTTAATGCCTTTTGTTGTAATAGTTGTTTTAAGGTTACTTTCTTTTTGAATATTTATTCTCTTATTTGAAAGAGTAAGAGAGAGGGAAAGACAGGGAAAAGAGCTTCCATCTGCTGGTTTACTCCTCGCAAGGTTGCACAGCTGGGGGCCTGGGAGGCCAGAGTTGGTAGTCCGGGACTCCATCCAGTTTTCCCATGTGGTGACAGGAGTCCATGACAGGGGTATGGGCTCTTGGATTATGCTTCCCCAGATGCATTGGCAGGGAGCAGGACAGGAACAGGAATAGCTACCACAGGAGGTGACTTAACAGCTTACCATCCCCAACACTGGACCCGAGGTTACTTTTTTTTTTTTTTTAAGATTTATTTGCTTGGGCCCGGCGCGGTGGCGCAAGTGGTTAGGGTCCTCGCCTTGCATGCCCGGGATCCCATATGGGCGCCGGTTCTATCCCGGCAGCCCCGCTTCCCTTCCAGCTCCCTGCCTGTGGCCTGGGAGAGCAGTCGAGGACAGCCCAAAGCTTTGGGAACCTGCACCCGCGTGGGAGACCTGAAAGAGGCTCCTGGCTTCAGATTGGCATAGTATTGGCCGTTGGGCTCACTTAGGGAGTGAATCATTGGATGGAAGATCTTCCTCTCTGTCTCTCCTCTCTGTATATCCGCCTTTCCAATAAAAAAATAATAAAAATAAATCTTTAAAAAAAAAAAGATTGTTTTTTATTACAAAGTCAGATGTACAGAGAGGAGGAGAGACAGAGAGGAAGATCTTCCATCCGATGATTCACTCCTCAAGTGAGCGCAACAGCCGGTACTGCGCCGATCCGAAGCTGGGAACCAGGAACCTCTTCCCGGTATCCCAATCGGGAGCAGGCTCCCAAAGCTTTGGGCCATCCTCGACTGCTTTCCCAGGCCACAAGCAGGGAGCTGGATGGGAAGTCGAGCTTTCGGGATTAGAACCGGCGCCCATATGGGATCCCGGTGCGTTTAAGGCGAGGACTTTAGCCGCTAGGCCACGCTGCCGGGGCCCCCGAGGTTACATTTTAAGATGGTAGTTCCATTCATTGTGAGCTAGTACAGTCTGTTGAACCTTGTGCTGAATGTATGTGCAGTAGTTGTACAATTTAGAGTTAGAAGGAAACGTTGATTGGTTCAAGCAAAGAGTGGAAGGATGGTGGCATTCTGAACGTGGAGTAGTGTCCAGAAGCAGTGTGGGATGGAGCCACACTAGATATGAAGAGATCTTTCACTGAAAACCCATTATTGTTAAATGAATAGAGAAAAACCCTTCAAAGTTATCTCACTGATAGAATTGCTGCTGCTGAAACAATATGCTGGACTCAGAGTCATCCAGCTCTAAATACCTCCTTGCAGTTTCTTTGCCCTCAACTTTAAAGGTTGTCTTCTTTGTGTCTGGAAAGGCTGCCAGCTTATATAAGCTTGAGGAGGAGAACCACGAGGCCGCCACGTGTCTGGAGGATGTGGTTTACCGGGGAGACACGCTTCTGGAGAAGATTCAGAGCGCACTTGCGGATATCGCACAGTCACAGCTGAAGACCAGGAGCGGCACGCACAGCCAGATGCTGCCGGACTCATAGCACCGCACGGCCGTGTGGCTCACCGAGAAACTGTCTGCAGGCCACCAAGAAATGGGTGTCCCAATTAATGTCAGCCTTACCAACAGTTGCAGAAGCATGCAACATTATGATGCATTTTACCTTTTCTGTTTTTACTCCTGATAATAAGTAAGCTTATAAAGTTGTGATTGGACTAGCTTTACACCGTCCTTTCGCCATCATTTTTAAAGATCGGAGTGAATTTGGCAGATACTGCATTCATGGTTATAACACAGACGTGCTCTGTTCTTTGTGACACCGTGTGTATTCTTCCCTTGTATTTCTGCAGTCCCTTTACAACTTGAGACACCCCAGAAGCCACAGGAGGTAGGCTCCAGTGAAGAGACTGGGGATGGTTCTGTATCCTGCCTCTACAGGGGTGGCACTGTATAAACCTGCAGTTTTGGGCAAGGAAGTTTCTGAAACTGTCACTCCTCAACCACAAAGGGTCAGTGTGCGTGGCGAGAAAGCAGGCTGCAATGATGCAAACTTGCACTCTCCCAAGAACTTCCCTTCCTTCTCACTCATGCCCCCTTGCATTTCCTGAGGAAGTCCCAATGAAATCCCTGGGTGACTGGGGAAATTTTTCTCATCCCCCTACTTGCTGTCACGACAGGGAAGTAGAGTCTTGATTCCACCTTGTTCTCTTGCCTTCTGCTCATGAACCTTGCCATCCTTGTTGCTACATTTGAAGGGGGGGCCATCCTCCTACATCAGTTATTTCAGAACTGTTTGCTGTATCCCTCCTCCAGGTACTCCTGACACTTGTGTCAGCATTGTCAGTTACACTGATTTACCCAGCTCTGCTCTCTGGAATCCACTGCATGTGCCCAGAAGTCTGCAATTGAAATCTTACCCACCGTCCTTGACAGTGTCTCAGCATCGCACGCTGCCCTAGTATCTATTCCCACCCAGAGTTAATTGTGCAGAAAACCCTCAAGAACAGTAGGTGCCCGTTAATTCTGTTGTAATCAAGCCTTTCCACGGTTGTTGAAAAATACTGCATTTCAGATTTCAACCTGCTTCTGTGATATTACAGCAGTTTATGGGTTAGGCATGGATTTTCTTGAACTGGGCATAGCCACTGAAGCTTCATTAAAGCACTTGGGTGGCTGTTGAGGCACAGCAGGTTAAACAACCACTGGGGATGCACACTCCCCATAGTGGAGTCCTGCCGCTAAGTCCATCTGGATCTCCTCTAATGGGCCTTTAGGCATCAAACGGTGACCCAGATACTTGGATTCCTGCCACCCACTTGAGGAGTCTGGAGGGAATTACTAGCCCTGTTGTTGCCAGCATCTGGGGAGTGAACCAGTGGATGGAAGTTCTCTGTCACTATACCTTTCAAATGAGTAAGTCTTAGGAAATAAAAACAACTTTTGCTCTCCCAGACATCCGGCATAAATTTTTACTGTTCAAATGGGGCGGGTGGAAAAACGGTGGGAAGTATCCCTGTGCTCCTAAATCTGCATTGTGAGATGTATTCGCCTTATATAAATAAAATAATGAAAAGGGGAAACTCAAAATGCCAAGGAGGGGAACCTTTCTAGTTGGAGGAGCCGTGGACTCAGCAAAGTGAAGCAAACCCTTATTGCTTTTTTCATTCACCAACTCGACTTGGGAGCAGCCATAGTCGGTAGAAGGGTGTAGCAGAGGGGCTGGCACGATGGCTCAAGTGGCTAATGCTCAGCCTCCACATGCTGGCATTCTCATGGGCACTGGTTTGTGTCCCAGCTGATCCAGTTCCCATTCAGTTCCCTGCTTGTGGCCTGGAAAAGCAGAAGAGGACCCTGCACCTGCGTGGGAGACCCGGAAGAAGCTCCTGGCTTCTGACTTCAGATGGGATTGGCTCATCTCTGGCCGTTGCAGCCAGAGGAGAGAGTAAACAGGGATTCTCAGAATCAGCAGACGGGAAATCTTTCTCTGTGTCTCTCTCCTCTGGAAATCTGCCTTTTCAAAAAAAAAGAAAGTGTGAGGCAGAGAAAACGGGCCCCAGCTGTTAGCTGGAGGACCAAGGAACCAGGAAATACTGGGAGTGTAGGCAGGAAGGGACCTGGGAAAGCAAATGCTTATCACACGTGTGGCTGTGACTCAACAGCCTATATAGACTGAGCGAAAAAACCCAAAACCACCTGCACAGTGTTTTTTAAGGGGTGAAATTATCACTTAAAAAAAAAAAAAACCCACTGAATCATCAACTCTATTTTCAGTTGAAAAGGAGAGACACAGTGATCTTCCATCTGCAGGTTTACTTCTCAAATGCCTGTAACAACTGGGGCTGGGTTACTGCAAAGATAGGAGCCAGGAACTTAGCTGGTCTGCCGTGTGGGCAGCAGGGCCCTTGAGCACTGCGGCCATCATCCAGTGCCTCCCAGCATGTCTCTAACCAGGGAGGTGGCAGTAGAAGCAGCCGAGCCCTGAACCCAAGCATTGGAAATGGGGTGTGGGTGTCCCAAGGGATAATTTAACAGGCAAACACTTGCCCCATGATGGTCCATATTTGGGAGAAGTATTTTACTAAAAACTCTAGGCCAAAAATGAGACAAAATATATTTTGATCTATAAAAGACTGCAAAATGATGGCAAATGTACTGAAAGGCCAAATGCATTCCTTTTCAAGTTGGCAGAAATCTGGAAGAAGCTCCAGATTTTTGGCTTCAGATGAGCTCAGCTCCAGCCATTGTGGCCACTTGGGGAGTGAACCAGTGGATAGAAGATCTTTCTCTGTCTTTTCCTTCTCTCCATAAATCTGATCTGCCTTTCCAATAAAAATAAATAAATCTTAAACAAAAAAAGGGAAAAGAACATTTTTGAGCTGGCACTGCGGCAGTGGATAGACTGCTACTTGTGGTCCTCGCATCTCTCATGGTCACTGGTTTGAATCATAGCTGCTCCATTTTCTATCCAGCTCCCTGCTGATGTGCGCAAGTCCTTGTGGGAAACCCAGAAGCAGCTCCTGGCTCCTAGCTCTAGATTGGCTCAGCTCTGGCAGGCCCAGCCCGCAGTTGTAGCCATGTGGGGTGTGAAGCAATGGATACAAGATCTGTGTCTCTTTCTGTAACTGTGTCTTTCAAATAAATAACTAAATGATTTAAAAAGAACAAAAGAGAGAGACATTTCCAAATAAATTAAAAAAAAAAAAAAAACCTCACCAAAAATGAACTAGTCTGATTTAAAGCACATGACCAGAATGGGCATTTTTCAACAATGGATGTACAAATGGCCAACAGATACGTGAAAAAAATGTTTAGAATCACTAATCAGAGAAACACAAATCATTCATGACACCTCTGCTGTTGGAATATCTATTCTCAAAGAGGTGTGAAATCACCAGTGCTGGCAAGGATGCAACGCTGACGGAGACGCACCTCGGGAGGGCCTCCAGCTATGGCAGCTAGCAGCATGGCAGTGCCTTGAAATACTAACAGGAGGGCCATGGGACCAGCAATCCCAGCGCCGAGTATGTGTGGCCACTTCAAAAAGTTCATGGAAAACAGAATTGAAAGATAAATTTATTTTAAATCAAAACGATTTTGAAATCTATTAGAAAAAAAAAAAAACGCTAGATGTGGACTTTAAAATTCTTTCACACCAAAGTAAATGTCTTTGAATCTCATTTTCCCTGAGCCCCGGGAAGTACCCTGGCATACCCAAAGGAATTGAAATCAGTATGTTGAAGGCACACATCCACTGCCATGGCTATTACCACACTGTTCACACCAGCCAAGACACAGAATCAAGGTTGCCCACTGACAGATGTGGGGATGAAGAAAATGCAGAGTGTGTACACAATGAAACATGACTCCAACTTGAAAGGAATTCTGACTTCTGCTGCAATGTGGATGGAACTGGGAGGAATATTACATGAGGTATAGTAAGTCTGGCACACCCAGAACAAACAATACTACATATTCCCTCCAAGTGGAAGGCATAACATTGCTCTTAAAGAAGCACAACAGTGGTTATCAAAGCCTGGGGAGGGATGAGAGGTAAATGGTTACTGGGCGGAAGGGTGCTGTCAGACAGCAGGCACAGTCAAATAACTGTGGTTGGCAACAACTACCTGCACACGTCCAGACAGCTAGTGGAACGGATCCGAGTGTTTCCGACACAAGGAAACGAGGCATCCAGGTTGACGAGTAAGTCAATCGCCCTGATTTGATCGTCAGACTAGTGGAAGAGAAGAATTCAAATACCGATCACATAGAGTAGAAAACAAGATTTGAGACAGATAAAGCTGTAAGTCTGGGGAAAGAACAGAAATTTTGCTAGAACAAACCATTATGTGCATGCTACGTGAGTGGTTATAAATAGACTGTTAAAATCAGGGTCTTTAGGGACCAGGGGTATAAGCATGTTTTGGAATTAGTGGTGATGGTTGCATAGCTCTGTGACTGCATGACATACCACTGAACTGTTCATCTTAAACGTGATATTAATCTGGGCACCTGTTTGAGTCCCAGCTGCTCCAATTCCATTCCAGCTCCAGGCTAACAGGCCTGGGAAAGCAGCAGAAGGCGCGTGTCCTTGGGCCTCTGCCATCTACTTGGGAGACCTGGAAGAAGCTCCTGGCTCCTGGCTTCAGCCCGGCCCACATCTGGCTGTTACAGGTATTAGGGGGAGTGAATGAGTGGGAAAATCTCTCTGTCTTTGTAACTCTGTTTTCCAAATAAATAAAATATATCTTTAAAAAAATCAATTTCTGATAAATATTAACCCTCACACTAAGAATAAGTGTCTGAGAAAAACAAACAGCAATCTTCCACCACAAGAGGGCAGTTTGACCTTGAACTCTGTCTCGGGCAAGGCTGGATGGAGCATTCTGTGTGTGTGTGTGGGGGGGGGTGGGGTTGGCCTGCTTGGTAGCACTGGCCAAAAGTGACGATTTCCCTGGCATCCACTCAAAGCTGGCACTACAATGCCAACGTGAACTAGTGTCTTCCTGCCACCAATAACTTGGATACGACAGCCAAAGGTCATGTATTCTCCTCTGAGAAGCAAATAAAGGGATCTGAAACCAGTTTTATGAGATGAAAACTTGGGCTCAGAATTGAAAAATTGTTAACTAGTAGTATCAGCCATTCCAGTTTTAGTATATGTGCTGTTGAAACAAGCACTAACTAGCAGTATCAGTCACAAAGGAAGTTAGGTGGACATTGTGCA